AGTCATTCTTTTCTTTTTGGGTCCGGTCGTGGGGCCTGAACTCTGGGCCTGGGCGCTGTCCTTCAGCTCAAGGCTAGCGCTCTACCTCTTGAGCCACACCGCCATTTCCGGCATTTTTCTTTTTGCTTATGTGGTGCTGAGGAATCAAACCCAGGGCCTCAGGCATGCAAGGCAAGCACTCTACCACTGAGCCACCTTCCCAGCCCTAGAAAGACATTCTTGTGCATAAATGTGATATAGCTATCATAAAATTAATACTGATCAGTATTACTGATTCTCAGACTCCCAAGTTTGACCAGCTGTTCCAACAATAATAAAAAAGATCCAGTTTAGTATGTCTTAATCTCAATCTAGAAAAAGTCTTTATCTTTGATACTTTGAGGACTCTGATGTGGCCAGTTATTTTGTGAAATTCACTCACGTTGTGTGACATTTGTGGTGGTTCCTCATGCTTAAATTGAGGTGGTACATCTTCGGCAGGGATTGGCAGAAGTGGTGCTGTGTTTTTGCTATACCCACTCAGTCACATGCACTTTAAACTATTCTGTTACTGTTAGTGTTCTTCCTCATTATTTGAGTATGTCAGGTGTAGTGTTGCTTTTTTTTTTTGGTCAGTCATAAAAAGGCTCTATCCCTGAGTTCTTTTGTTAAGGGAAGTACTTTACCACCTTGAGCCACAGCACCACTTCTGGTTTTCTGGTGGTTAATTGGAGATAAGAATCTCACAGAGATTTCCTGCCGAGGCTGGCTTTGAACTGTGATACTCATATCTCAGACTCCTGAGTAACTAGGATTACAAATGTTAGCCACCAGCACCTCACATTGCACATTTATACCTTTATAATTAAGTTCTTTGAGGTACTTTGAGACTGCACAAATATCCCTTCCATTAGACTTTGAATTCATGAGATTTTTCAGGGGTTAATAACATTTTTCTTAAATTTCTCCAATATAAATCTCTTTAGTTTGGCTGTTAAATTTTTCATTGAATAATTTCCTTCTGACACAAGAATATTTCAGGCTCATCTTGTTCCTGCCCATGTCTTATATTGCAGCCATTTCTCCAAGGTGGTCTAGTGCCTTTTAGTGGAAGAAATCAAGATCTGGCATGTTCATTGCTATTGTATTGGTGTTTATTCCAGATCTTGTCAGTGGATAGGGCAGAGAACATATATATGTCTATATCAACTATAATTATATATATTTTATAATTATATACATTTTATGTATATATGTAATATATTGTGTATATATTAACTGTCTTTTCTGTCTAGAAAACCAAGTTCAAACTAATAACTCTTGTTCTAGTTCACACCATGATGTCCATACTCATTTTCCATCTGTCCATATTCTCTTCTCTAACAATGAGAATCCTGGCTCCCATTATCCTTGACTATTCCTGAAGGACTTGCCTCTCCCCTCTTGGCCCAATCTTTTTTTTTTTTTAATTGTGAAAATACTGTACAGAGGAGTTACAATTACTTGGGCAAGGTAATGAGTACATTTCTTATCAAGCATTGTTGCCTCCTCCTTTGTTTTTCCTTCCCATCTCCCTTCCTCCCCACACACCCACCCAGGCCCAATCTTTTTATGTATATAGATGGAATATGCAGGATTGACTCCCACCTTATTCCCCCAGGTCAAGCAAAGCACCAGGTGTGTGCTCAAGTGCTTGTCTGCAGGAAGCTCATTCCAAGCTTGGCCCCCAGGGGACAATATTCCCTCACCGATGGTGGAGCATTCCACTTTGGGCCTGGCCAAGGACTTTGCCCTGGGCCCCAAGAGACCATAAAGGATTGACCCCACTATCCATACAGACCCCAGGCAAAATCTCAGGTATGTGTGAACTTGTTTGAAGTGCAGGCAGGGCAATCCACCTAAGCCCAGCTGTACACACCCCATTGTGGGCCCAACTGAAAAGCCCCCACCTTCCTTGACATAGTGGCTTTTCATTAACCTCTGCCTCCTTGCTGGACCTCCTATAAAAACCCAGCTCCTGTCCCAACTCTTTGGCACAACCTCCAAACCCGAAGGAATGTCTGTACCTCTCACTGTTCCTCAATAAACAGTCTTCACCTGTTGATGATTGAGTCAGACCTATTCCTTTTCCATCCTCCTCTATTTTCCTAACAGACCATAATCCATTTTTAAAATCTGCTTCCCTTGTTAAGCCTTACATACGCCCACCCCAAAATCCAGTCCCTGGCACAACCTCCAAACCTATAGGAAGGTCTGTGCCCCTTGCTGGCAATAAACAGTCCTTACCTATTGATCGAGTTTGGCCTATTCCTTTTCCCTTCTCCTCTATTTTTCTAACACTTCCTCTCTATGTAACTGCTATTGTTGCCATTGCAGCTCCTCTACTGTGCGTGGCTACTAGTCATATGTTCCTAGGCTCTGTCAGCCTACATTGAACCTGCCTCCACACAGTCCCAAATCTGGAAGTAAAGATGGATGAGTAGGAAAACACCTGTAATCCTTTAGATTAAAAAGAAAACTAGAAAGCATGAGAAGGGTCTGGAGCTAAAAGTTCAGCTCTGCCTTTTAAATTTGTTCATCAACTCATGGATCATATAATTATGGAACCCCTCTGAGTGCTAGGTTACTGGGATACTGTGGGATCTTGACAAAGTCCTTTCTCTCATGAAACTGCTTTAACTGTACCTGTAATTTAGGTTTAGACAAGTTGTGACAAATTGGAAACCTCTCTACCTTGTTTCCTCATATGTCAAGTGTAGATACTAGTAATTTTGCTCCTTGGATTGCTATGAAATTGAAGAATCCATGTAACCTTCTAGCTTAGTGATACCATAAAAAAATCACAGGAATAATATACAAGTATGTTACATGAAACACCAGTTTATTTTTTAATATTTTGAGGAGAAGCCAAAATCTTCTGGCAAGGAAAAACACATCTTACCTACTCAGAATTTTTTCCTTTCCTTCTGCCTACTTTTATCTAAGAATATGAACATTTAAAGTGTGCGTGTATGCCTTATCTATTGACTCTCAGAATATAATACAAAACATCAAAAAACAAATCATCATGGCATTTACTTGCATATTTGAATTGAATGACAGTTTAATAGATGGACTTACATTACACCTGAGAGCCATGGTATATTATTCATGTATTTGGCACTAATGAGAAGGTAAATATTATGTACTGTTAAAAGAGACTATTTTGTTGCTGGTATTTTAAGTTATACAAAGAATTGTGCTGTTTTATAGTAATTTTCTTAATTTTTTTTTGTTGTTGTTGGTTGTGGGGCTTGAACTTAGGGCCTAGGTGCTGTTCCTGAACTCTTCAGCTCAAGACAAGCGCTCTACCACTTGAGCCACAGCTCTACTTCTGGTTTTCTAGTGGTTTTTATTGGAGATAACAATCTCACAGACTTTTCCTGCCCAGACTGGCTTTGAACCACAATCCTCAGATCTCAGCCTCCTGAGCGCAGCTAAGATTATAGGTGTGAGCCACCAGCTCCTGAATTAAATTTTTTTTTAACTTTTCAACGTTTTTAACTCTTGCTAACTGCTGATATGTAAACTTGAATTATTTCTGTACTATTTAAGTGGTAGCATTTAAAAATAGATACCTTATCCATCTGTTCACCAGTGGCTCACGCCTATAATCTGAGCTACTCAGGAGGCAGAGATCTAAGGATCACAGTTCAAAGCCAGTCCAGAAAGGAAAGTCTGTGAAACTCTTATCTCCAGTTCACCAGAAAACCAGAAGTGGCGCTGGGACTCAAGTGGTAGAGTGTTCACCTTGAGTTGAGCTGAGGTACAGCACCAGGCTCAGAGTTCAAACCCCACAACCAGCGTCCCCTCCCCCTGCAAAAAATTCACACACACATACACGTTATCTAAAAAAATGAAATGTACTTATAAACTGACTTATATATACCTTAATATACCTATATACCTTAATAATAACAATAAAATTATATTAAAAATACACAGATCATATAACCTGTAAAAGTCTAGAATATTTGTCTAGGAAGTCATATCTTCTGTCATGAGAAATATATAATGAATACTAAATTTCTAAATACTTGCTTTTATGTACATTTTCCTCCTTTTTGTTTCTCTTCCCTCTTCCAGTGCTAGGGATGGAAATCAGGGCTTCCCAAGTGCTAGACAAGTGCTCAACACGGAGCTACTCCTCCACATAGCACTCTTTTTGTTGTTGTTGTTGTTGGTTATGGAACTTGAACTTTAGGCCTGGGAGCTGTCCCTGAGCTCTTCAGCTCAAGGCTAGCCCTATACCACTTGAGCCATAGCACCACTTCTAATACACAGCACTTTTAATGGCAACATTCAGAAAAGAAATTCAATATTAATATAAAATTTATATTGCAAAGTTTTGTGTTTGTATTGAATGTTAGGAGTAACTTCTTTAATCACACAATGTAATTATACTAGGACCCTCAGGGATGTGGACTAAGTATAAATCCCCATAACTTTAACAGTTCGGTAAAGTCTTTAATTTAAAGTCTTTAATTTCATGCTGGTTAAATTAGTGAATAGGCCCACAGTAAATTCTAAGCATATTAGAAAATGTGACAGTATTAATTAATTGAGGGATCTAGTCACTTCGTCTTACTTAGCCTGTGCTACCCCCACAAGCTGAGTCATCAGAGCACAAGTCATTAGAAGGCAGTCGTGAGGTTACCAGAAAGGAAGTTATAAGAGCGATGGCTTGAAAAAGGTGAAGCAGATAGGGAAACATGGTACTCACAACTCTGGAGAAGAGTTTACAAAGAGATTTCTACGTGGCAAAGCACTGTTAGCCAGGATGGTGGGGCATGCCTACAATCCTAGCACTTGGGAGGCTGAAGCAGGTGTATCATGAGTTTAAGGCAAGTCTAGGCTATGTACTGAGAAACTGTCTTTAAAGTAAATAACATTTAGAAATTTTCTTTGAAATTTAGATTCTTAGCTCCTTAGAATCTGATGTGTCAGATAATTTTTCTTGATCTGTATTTTTTTTTTTGTAGCATTGGCAGAAAAAGAGGCAATCAAAGGTACATACTCCAAAGTGCTGGATGCATATGGACTCCTAGGTGTTTTACGGTTAAATCTTGGTAAGTTTGTTACATAATCTAATTAATCCGTTTTTTTTTTCATTTCTGCCTTTGTAATTCCAAAGATTTGAGCGAGACTACTTACGTATCACTTCAGACTATGTTTAAGCTCTAAGTGTGGTACACATATATGCATAGATGTATTTTTTTAGAAATAATTTTTCTAAATTGAGATTACGTGATTACATAAATTTCATATATTTCACAGTATTGTGATAGTCAAAATAGTTAAAGTCACAAACACATTTTAACCTTCAGTTGTTATTAAAGTTTGTGAATTCTATGAGCTTTGACACACAATACACTTATTTCTTCCACATCAGGTGATACTTAACATTTCTTTCCTTTTGCTTAATGTAAGCTGTTTCCTTCCCTGTGATTCCTTCCTTCCCATTGCTGTCTTTGGGTTGCTTAGTTCATTTCATCTATGTCCAGTGCAGCTGATTGGCCCCTCTATTGTAAGTGTAGTATACTTTTTAAACATTTTTTAAGAAAATTCAACAATTGAGTATTAATTTTTAACATTAAAAACTAGTCTTATTAATTAGGCTAATATTATAAAATGTTTGTTGCCCCAGAAGACAGTGTTGCATTCTGAAGCTCATATGATTTCATGTTCCAGAGCTGATGTCCTTTTGAACACATTAAGAGTGCTTAATGCTTCCGTGCATTTTGGGAAAAGGTGCCTTCATGGGAATAACACTGATCTCCTTGGTATATAGTGGAGAACACATCTGTTTTGAATTCATGTCTCATCCTGAGCCCATGTCTGTCACTTAATGTCACCACTATGGGCTTCAGAGTATTGTATTTGTGATTTCAGTTTGTCTTTTTTTTTTTTTTTTTTGTCATGGGGCTTGAACTCTGGGCATGGGTACTGGGTACTGTCCCTCAGCTCTTCAGCTCAAGGCAAGCGCTCTACCACTTGAGCCACAGTGCCACTTCTGGTTTTCTGATGGTTTATTGGAGATAAGAGGCTCATGGAATTTCCTGCATGCGCTGGCAATCCTCAAATCTCAGCCTCCTGAGTAGCTAGGATTAACTGTTTTTACTAGCATTTGTGTGTGTGTGTGTGTGTGTGTGTGAGATGGGGTTTGAACTTCGGGCCTGAGCTCTTCAGCTCAAGGATAGGTGTGTGTGTCTGTGTGTGTGTGTGTGTGTGTGTGTGTGTCTGTGTGTCTGTGTGATGGGGTTTGAACTTTGGGCCTGAGCTCTTCAGCTCAAGGCTAGCACTCTTCAACTTGAGCCACTGTACCACTTCTGGCTTTTTCTGTTTATATGGTCCTGATTAATCGAACCCAGGGCTTCATGCATGCTAGGCAAGCTCTCTACTACTAGGCCACATTCCCAGCCCGCCATTTCTGCTTATGTTAAAGTACTTTACTGCTGGCTTTCAAATACATACTGATTTCATAGGATTTGATATAATTAAATGAAAAAAAAAAGATTACTAGCCAGGCATGGAGCCATATATTTATCCTTAGCCCTTGGGAAGTGGAGACAGGAATGATGCATTATATAGTGTAATTGTCTCAACTCCAATCCTCCCCCAAAAATGTTACTTATATCAAATTGCTTTTTAAAATGGTTATTAAGGATTTATTGTCCATATAGCATCAGCAGCTCGTTTATTTATGCCATTTTTTTCAACTATACTATTTACAGAGAACTTCAATATTGGTTATTTTATCCCAACTTCTAGCCATCTTTAGGGAAAGTGGTACAGGCAAAACATATTTTTTTGATTAAATGTTTATAGCTCCAAGTTAAGTATTATTTTGTGAATGTGAATTTATCCTGTAAATGTTTAGATACACAAAATGTTTTTTTGTTTTGTTTTGTGCCAATTTTGGCACTGTCCCAGAGCTCTTTTGCTCTTTTGCCCAGGCTAGAGTTCTACCACTTGAGTCACAGCTTTACTTCTGCATTTGTGGGTAGTTAATTGGAGATAGTAGTCTCATGAACTTCCTGCCTGGGCTGACTTCAAACCGCCATCCTTAGATCTCTTCCTTGGAGTAGCTAGGATTACAGGAGTGAGCCATCATGCCTTGCTTCAAAATGTATTTTAACACGTATTTTTTTTATAACTTAAAAAAGCCTAGTTGTGAATTTCAGTATATCCATGATAAATTAAAATTGTTATACTGTCAAATTTAAAAGATGGAAACAAAAGAAAGTCAGATTAGCTTGAAAATATTGAAAATTTTCAGCCAGCTTTTCAATTAAAAAATCTTTGTTTTTAGTGGCGCTGTAGCTCAAGTGGTAGAGCGCTCGCCTTGAGCTGAAGAGCTGAGGGACAGCGCCCAGGCCCAGAGTTCAAGCCCCACGACCGACCAAAAAAAAAAAAAAAGAATTCAAAAAATCTTTGTTTTTTGCAGGTGATACCATGTTACATTATCTTGTCCTAGTCACTGGATGTATGTCTGTTGGAAAAATTCAAGAGTCTGAAGTTTTTCGAGTTACTTCCACTGAATTTATATCACTTCGAGTTGATGCTTCAGATGAGGATCGCATTTCAGAAGTACGAAAAGTTTTGAATTCAGGAAACTTTTATTTTGCATGGTCTGCATCTGGAGTCAGTTTAGATCTGAGTCTTAATGCACACCGTAGCATGCAAGAACACACAACTGACAATAGGTTTTTCTGGTGAGTCCAAATTTCATTGTTGCCTTTTTAATCATGTGCTATGAGTAGATTGGTGACTTTAGGGCATGATACATCCAGCCATTACTATTTCCAGAGATAGCAAGAGGTGGACATTGCCCCTCTTTTCTTTTTCCAAGTCTTCAGCAGATCAGCCATTATTGGTTTGGCATCTAACATGAAATCCATTTATTCTGATAAATTTCATTTCAAAAATATGATTTAAGATTCAGGAATTATTTATAATGAAATTGTGTTATCACAATAACACAATACTGTTTATCATTCTTAGTTTTCATTCTTGTCTCTGTATTATCACCATCCTAAACCAACATTTCCTCTTAAATTTTGAGATGGTAAGTAGATTTTCTTTTTTGCAATATCAGGAATTAAACCCAGAACCTTGAGCATGGTAGGCAAATGCTCTCCCATTGAGCTGCTCCCCAGACTTAGTATACTAATCTAAAAGCAACAGACTGTAAAGAAATAGTATACTGAGGGGTTGGGAAGGTGGCTCAGTGGTAGAGCTCTTGCCTTGCATGCCTGAGGCCCTGGGTTCGATTCCTCAGCACCACATAAGCAAAAAGATAAAAGCCGGAAGTGGCCCTGTGGCTCAAGTGGTAGAGCGCTAGCCTTGAGCTGAAGAGCTGAGGGACAGCGCCCAGGCCCAGAGTTCAGGCCCCACGACCAGACCCCCCCCCAAAAAAAATAGTATACTGGGACAAAGTACTACAGTAAATAAAGCTTATGTAGATACATTACTTGATAATGCATCACTGTGCTGTATTATAAATAGGCATAAAATGGTGAGATCACATGAGAATATAATTAGTATTCCTTTATGATAGCATACTGGGTTGCTTGTGTAGTGACTTTTGTCTACAGCCATCATCTTTGGTGCCTTTTCTCTTTAATGTCAGGTATAAATTATATTTCACTGTATTTCACTGTATTAACATATATTGTAAAACCAGTGTTCCCGCTCTCTGTTCCCTCCATAGTTGAGATTCAAGCCTTTAACCTGTGTATTTTCTCTCCCTATTTCTTTCATCATCATTTGTATGGTTCTTGAGTAGTGTGCATTTATGTTTGACACATTTGCCCTGTTTATTGCAGGATGCAAAGTCAACAACAATCTTAAAAGACAAAACTAAGCTCTAGTTATGCTTCATAATTTACATGGAAGTCTTGGCCCAGAGGAACGGCATAGGGGAACAGAGAGGGCAGAATGAGCTAAAGCTGTAGAACATGATCAGAGATTTGGGCTCAGTAAAGGAGGAAACAATGACGGGATAGAAGACCTTGTTCGTAATATAAAAGATAATAGAGGAAATGAGAGAACATGAACATGAAACTCTTTAGCTCATAGAACCTAGTAGTAATGGAATGTATTTTTGTCTAGCATTCAGAAATAGGCTTTCCAAACTTGACCTGTGTCAACTCAGTGCCTTTTCTAGTAGAAGATATTAAAGTCCTTTGAAAGGACTTCAGCATTGCAGCCGTGCATTGGGCACTGTACTCACCTTTTGATTCCCTGATCATTCTTATCCTCAGTTCCTTAGTCTGGAGAGAAAAGCTTTTCTGCCAAAGTAGAAATCTATACAGATGCAGTTTCATTTGCCAAGATTAACCAGTAAGAGTAATTCATTCATACTTTCATTCAATTAAGGGTAGATCATAGAGAGCCTAAGGGGTTTGTCCAGTAGGAGATAGATTGAACAAAAGGATGATGAGTACACGGAAGGTGAATTTTTCTTTTTCGTTTTTGTTATTTTACTAAGGATTGGAAAACTTGTTTCAATTTACATAAGAAAATGAAAGATTTTAGAATTTACACACTTGTAACAACCTAAATCCTCTTTTTAGGATACAATATGTTTTATAGCTAAAGTATAAAATACTTGAAAATTGAATGGTTTTATCCCAGTGGAAAGTTGAAGCTGCCATTAGTCAGCAGCTGTGAAGACATTCATAGAATTAAAACAACAACACATTTTTGTTAATAAAGGAAACTGAACCTGGGTGCCAGTGGCTTATGCCTGTAATACAAGCTACTCAGGAGGTTGAGATCTGAGGACTGCAGTTCAAAGCCAGCTCAGGCAGGAAAGTCTGTGAGACTCTTAAGTCCATCAAAGCTACCAAAAAAGCCATTGGTGGAGCTATGACTCAAGTGGTAGAGTGCTAACCTTGAACAAAAGAAGCTTTGGGACAGAGCCTAGGCCCTGAGTTCAAACTCCAGGATTAGCACCAAAAAAAAGGAAAAAAAAGATATAACAGAAATGAGACACAGTGCTAAAACTACACATACACACACAAAGATTCTTTAATGCTGACAATGCATTATATAACTTAAGAACACTGATCTCTTTTTATAGCCTTATCTTCAGATAATTAACATAGAAAATATAAATCAATTGATTAGTATTTGTTGCCTTTTAATTAACCTTAAATTAATGTTCTAAATTAATGTTTTAAATTTTTTGTTACTTAGGACTTAATAACTCAATACAGTTATTTCTTTTTCCCTTAGGAACCAATCTTTGCATTTGCATCTTAAACACTATGGTGTGAATTGTGATGACTGGTTATTACGCCTAATGTGTGGGGGAGTAGAAATCAGAACGATTTATGCTGCTCATAAACAGGCAAAGGCTTGCCTCATTTCAAGATTAAGCTGTGAACGAGCTGGAACTAGGTTTAATGTCCGGGGAACAAATGACGATGGTCATGTTGCCAATTTTGTAGAAACAGAGCAGGTATATAATGTTGTATATTGCTTATTCATGAATTATTGGAGCATAGAAAACACAAGAATTTCAGAATTTTACTTGTTTGAGAACACATTTTGATATATTGTTGACTTATAATGACCCTAAGTATGTATTGGCCTTACGGTTTCCCTAAAACTAAATCATTTAGGTATGACTGTTATGATAGGTGACAAGATATGACATAGTCAGTGAGTTTCATTTGAAAATGAATTTCAAAGTCCTTAATTATAGTTATATAACCTTAAAAGTATTTTTGTGCGGAATTAAATCTAATTCTTAGTGAGATATGTGGACTCCTTAAAAATGAAAATTTATGGGTTTTTGGTTATGAAACTATATAATTGTAATTTCCAACTCAGGATTCCCACATAGGTTTTGAAAAATATAAAACTCAGGAAAATGAATTAAATAAAATATAAAATATATATGTATAAAATATGAAAATATAAAAAGTTCCCTTTTAAGAGTTGTGATTGTTATTCTTATATTTTTATTAGTTAATATTATTATTAACTGAAAAACAATTACATTTTTATTGACCTATTTTGGATACCTTGATGAGAACCATTTGTATATGAGAAATATGTCATAAAATGTACTACTCTACAACAGATTTTAGTAAGTTTGTTATTCTAAAATAGAGGTAACTGCTTTTTCCTTTGGAAGTGTTCTATCTATGTATCTATCTACTTACTTTTTGTAGGTTGTATACTTAGATGACTCTGTTTCTTCATTCATACAAATCCGCGGATCTGTTCCATTGTTCTGGGAGCAACCAGGATTGCAAGTATGTTGCTTAATAGTTACTTATTAGTTTCTTTACTTGGAAATAAACTATATTCTCAGGATTCTCAAGATATTTGATTAGTTAATTGATCATTCTATTTCATGTAATAATATCTAGATTCACAAATGAGGTTTTTTTTACAAGCTTAAGTTTTTTTCCTTGAATGCTTTTTCAAAATGTGTCACTTCCAGGCTGGGAAGGTGGCTCAGTGGTAGAGCTCTTGCCTTGCATGCAAAGTGTCGCTGTGGCTCAAGTGGTAGAGCAGCTAGCCTTGAGCTGAAGAGCTGAGGGATAGCGCCCAGGCCCAGAGTTCAGGCCCCACGACCGGACCCAAAAAAAAAAAAGTGTCACTCACTTTTGTCTCATTATAATGAGATACCCAAGGCTACTCAACTTTATAAAGGAAGGAAATTTATTCTGGTTCACAATTCTGAAGGCTGAAGGCCAAGATTTAGCATCCCCTTTTAGTTTGACCTCTGGTGAGAATGTAATGCTGGATGTATTGTGACCTTAGAAGGATGGAAGTGATGTTGGCGGAGAGACCAGTTCTTTTTTTTTTTGTGAAAATACCATAGAGAGGGGTTATAATTACATGGGCAAGGTAATGAATGCATTCCTTATCAAGCATTGTTGCCTCCTCCTTTGTTTCCCCTTACCATCCCTCCTTCCCCTCCCCAAAGTTGTAAAGTTTGTTTTCAACATAACATCTTGTACATCTCATTGTTGCAATGGGTCCACCTGTATCCCTATTTAAGCAATTTGTTTTTTTCCCTTCCCCTCCACAAATTATACCAACATCAAATACAGTGAAAACAGGGGCTATACCGTGGGGGAGGGACATACAAAGCAACAAAGAAATATTTATAATTATGTTAGAAACAATAGCCAGAAAGAAAAAACATTTAAATCCTTATCTTGAGGTTCATTTCATGAACATCAACTTACCTGACCATTTCTGCTTGTCTCCGACATATGCTGGTTATTGCAAATAAGGGAAACCATGGGACCTTTGTCCCTGGGCCTGTCTTACTTCACTTAATATAATTTATTCCACATCTTTCCATTTCCTAACAAATGGGGTAATGCCATAATTTCCGATGGAGGCATAGAATTCCATTGTGTATATATACCACATTTTCTTGATCCATTCGTCTACTGAGGGGCATCTGGGTTGAAAAACAATGGTTAGATGCCACGAAGTAGGTGGCAATACCTTAACTGTAAGCATGTTGTCAGGCCCAAGGGCCTTTTCCATCCTTGTCAAGTCAAGTGCTAACCTTCTCTCCTTTCATACAACACCAGATCTTGAAACAGGAAGCCACAGAGAGATTCAGGAGTCCAGACATAGGCTTTTCTAACAATTCACTCCCTTAAGATCCCAGACCAGGAAACCAGAATTCCCTTCTGAGGGCAGCTTTCCCACTGACCTAAACACCTCTTGACAGTTCCATACCTTCTCCCAGCTCAGTAAAATATATATTACATATAACATATAATAAAATGGGATTTTTAATTCAAATTTTCTCTGGATTTGGGATTTTTTTTTTATTGAATGTTTTTCTGTCCCTTTAGTTTGCACCTCTTTTTCTATGTCCATCATTCTTAGGTTTGATCTCTAAATAGTCCTAGAGGTTTTTCATGTTCCACTTGTACTTTTTTTTTCTACTTATTTGACTGTTCTTCCACCATGTACATCTGCCATGTCCTTGCCAGTCCATTCATCTGAAGAGACTTTCCAGTGTTTTGACTTAATAGCTTTTCATTTCCTGAATTTGAGTTTGATTCTTCTTTAAGATTTCTCTGTCTTTATTAAATTCCTTTTTCATACCCTTTGTTGTTCTTATTTCATTCACGTGTGTATTTGTAGCCAATGTGGAGTTCTTTTAGTTGTTGATTTTTATTGTCTTCTAATTCGTTCAGTCTTTTATACATGTTCTCTTTATTTTATTGATCATTCTTATAGTCAAGCTTTTGAGTTGGGCTTTCTTTCTTTTTGATTATCCTTATCTGTTATTGTGAGCCACTGAAAGCCCCAGTTCCTGCACAGTTCCTCCATTTGTACCCAGGGGCAGCAGATGGACTACCCATGGAGTATCCTCATAATGTACCTGATAATGGGGGAAACAGACAACTTAGTTCTGCACTAGTGGAGCACAAAGGGACTTAAGTGATCTGCCTGTAGGAATCAGCTCTTTCACATCTTGCCCTGCAGTCTGTCATCCTGTGGGAAGTCTAAGGCTGGAGGGATGGGGTATCATGGGAGCTCTGAAACTCTTAGCCCTGCCTGCAGAAAGCCCCCAGAATCACTGGTTGCTGAGTGCTTTACTAGCTATAGAGCTCAGGTACTGTTTCTGTTATAATCCTCAGGCATTGGTTCTTGCTCTAGCCAGGGAGAGTGGATAGCATCTAGGTGATTTATTGCCTGAGTCACTGCTACTGCTTTGAATTCTGGGCTTACCTGTATCCAAGCCTTTTCCTTATCCTAGCTGTTTCTTTGAGTGTCTCCAGAATGCTTAGCAAATTGCAAGCAGCTTGCATACAGTTAATGTAATCTGATAACTCAGGTACCTGGAATGAAGCAGGAGATCCTTACTCAGACACTGCATTTTTGCACTCTCCAGTCTAAAACAAGCAAAAGCTTATCTTGTCTTATGCCTGTCATACTGAAGCATTCACTGTCCCACAAAGTCCCCACCTTGGAATTTAAGGTTTGCAAGAGTTTTGGAATTGTCATATAGCTAGATCTGCCAGTGTATGGAGGAGGCTACCAGGCTTCCTTATAGTGGAGGCTTCAGCTTTTCCTTGCTAGGGATGCTAGGTTTCTTAATGAATGAGATAGTACTTTTGGCTCTCTCTCTCTCTCTCTCTCTCTCTCTCTCTGTGTGTGATAGAATTTGAACTTAATATTTAACACTTTAGAGGATACTGTTGGACAGAGTACCACTTGAGCCATTCCTCTAGCCTGATAATATTAATTCAATCTTGAAACAAAAAAGCACTTTGGATTTTGTTTTCTATTCTTTTTGTTTTTTGTCTTTGTCAAACTGCCTTGAGTGATGTGGCAACTCTTCTACACCCTCTTTAAAGTCATTTTGTTGACAGGTTAGCATGAATATATTCTAGAGAACTGTGATCCCAAAACTTCAAAGAGAGAAAGATGGGGGGCGGGAGGAAGGGAGGTTTAAAATGAAGTTCTCACTTTAAAACTGAGATTTTAGGTCCAAAGTCTCTGAGTCTCAAAATAGATCTAGCCACTTGCCCTATATGCCAAAGAAAAAGACATGGCAAAGGGCAGAGAAATACTTACTACATGGCAAAAGAACACTTTAATACATCTTTAGCTGTCTTAGAGGTACAGACATTGACTTCAAGTTAAGTAGAGAAAATTGGGGGCAGGGTCTGTGATAAGTATGCATAGATAAAATAGTAAAATAGTCCTTAAATCACAGGTATGGCCTGGTTGACCATTAGCTTAGTCTTTGCCCTTGTCCTTCAAGCAGTTCCAGAGAAGTTAATACTTTATTACTGGGACAGAAGAGGAACAAGGTGGTCTCCTGAACTTTTGACTGTGTACTTTAAAATATAGAAGACATTCTTGTTGAAGGGGCAATTTGCCTTCCCCACAAGATGATTATCATTGAATCTAGTCTTTGTCCAGCAAACAAGGTGATTGCAAAATTGACTATAACAGAGAATAGTTCAGATCAAAGGGCACACATTCAAAGGACCCAGCAGAAGCTTTCTTTTTTACAATCTCACCTTTTTATTCTTGTATCTATTATGTCTTTCTCAAAACTACTTAACCTCTGCCACCATCGGATGTGAGAAGAGAAAACGTATCCATACACACTAGTAAATATTTCCCATCTTGTTTATTTCACTTAATTAAAATTTTCTAATTCTGCCAACTGTGCTGTAACTGTAGTTGTGTGACTGTGAGGCTGACTTGGTAAGTCTGCTTGGCCAGGAAGGGGGGATGGTAGTTTAAACTCACTGGAGTTTTGATGATGGAAGAGGTGACTAGGGAAAAAAAAACACATGGACACTAAAAGAGTAGGAATTTAGTGAGGACACATAGAAATTTCATTTGAGCTATTTTTTAGAATTAGTAGTGTAACTCTAGAGGACTAGTTACATCTATTAATTTACATAGGGCATGTATTTTGAGCATAAGGTCATAATATCTATCAAAACACTCAAGGATTTTTTTTTTTTGTCAGTCATGGGGCCTAAACTCAGGGCCTGGGTGCTGTCCCTTAGCTCCTCAGCTCAAGGCTAGCACCCTACCACTTTAGCCATAGTGCCACTTCCGGCTTTTTCTGCTTATGTGGTGCTGAGGAATGGAACCCAGGGCCTCATGCAGGTAAGGCAAGCATTCTACCACTGAGCCAGTTTCCCAGCCCTTCAAAGATTTTTAATCCAAAAATTACTGTTTTCAAATATTTTGGTACTGCATGTTCAGCAAATGAGTTGTTATGTATTTTAAGCAATAATATTTCTTCTGGTATGATTAAATGTATTTTATATGTTAAGGTGGGATCTCATCGTGTTCGGATGTCAAGGGGATTTGAAGCCAATGCACCTGCTTTTGACAGGTAAAAGCTGATTAATTATATGTAGTGCTGTAACATTTGTCATTGCTAAGCAGTTTACTTAGTTATATTCATTTATTCATTTTAACTTTGTTCATCGAAGTAAATTCCTAGAAGACCATGATTCCTAGACTGAGGGCAGTAATGCTCTAACTGTGGGTCTGATCTGGCCTCTCTTGGTACCTTGTTCACAATGCTAGACTCTAGCCACGTGTGGCTACTCAGTGCTTGAAATGTGATTGATCAAATTGAAATGTGCTGTAATTATCTACACTGGGATTCAAAGATTTGGTGCATAACTACATAAGATAAAAAAATAGAAAACCTCAATATTTTTCCATATTGATTTTATGTTGAAATGATAGTTTAGATGTTTTGAATTAAGGTATATATAATTTTCCTTTTTGCTTTTTTGGTTTTGTTTTGTTTTTTTTAATCTTAAAATTTTAAATGATAGATAAGGCTTATTTTATATTTATATAACATTTCTATGTACAGTATTCTCCTCTTAGCCTATTGGTTACCTGAAACTATATATATTAGTGCATGTGTGTGTGTGTATGTATGTATGTATGTATATATGCTGAGTTTTTTCTTAAAGAGATACACCTAAGTTAAAAGTTTGATAAATTAGGCACAGTAAAATATTAACTACAAAAATCTATTAACACTTTTGGATTGTTGTAATGATATACTATAACAAAAGTTTTATGAATGTGGTTTCTCTCTTTTGAAAGACTCAAAACAGATATTAGTATTTTTAGAACTGTGACTGACCTCAGTAACCAAAATAATAGAAAACAGGACCATAGATAGGGAATATCGTGCTGCTTATGTAATGCCTTGAAGCTGGAGAGAAAAACACCTCTTTCTTACATGGGGCCTATTTTTCAAAAGCAAGATCTAGTAAGGAAGTTGCACTAAATACTCTTGGAGTATGTGATAAACTTGCATGGAAAGGTCAGCCCCTTCTGCTCCCACTGCCTGAGCAGCCAGTGAGGCCTGTTCTCTGCTTTGTCTGGAGCTATCCTCAGAGTGAGAAGGGGAGCTTCTTCCAAAATGGGAGTTTCTGTGTCAGTGAGTCAGAGCAGAAATCGTATTTTCTGAATTTTATAAATTCAGAGATTTGAGAACATGTAGAATGGACTTGTGCCCAATTTAACCAATTTTATCAGTTTAAAATACTGCTACCTAGGTACTATTTAACAATGGGGTATATGTGTATACACATTTAAATAAAAGGCTTATCGTTTAACATATGCTCATTTCCTTTTCTCAATAGGCATTTTAGAACACTTAAAAATTTATATGGAAAACAAATAATAGTAAATTTGCTTGGATCGAAGGAAGGTGAACATATGCTAAGTAAGGCTTTCCAGGTAGGTATGGTCATTTTTTCCTCCATTCTGGCTTATAGTTACCTAGAAAGATACTTTAAAATAATTCAATGGTCAGTGTCCTGGGAAATAAGACATTTCATAGAAAAAAGTTTGATCCTTTAATTCTTGGAGGCAGTTAGGGATCAGTTTAGTCTAGTGCTGCTGAAATTTGAATTATGGAAAGGTTTCCAGACATTGACTCTGGGTTCTTATTTGCTTACTTAATTTTGTCGAGAAGCAGACAAATACTCTTTTCCCCAGCATTCACTTTCAATTGTAGAGAAATACGAGGCAGATTCCTCCTTTGCCCTGCCTGCTTCCTAGAAGCTAGAGCAATGATTTTAAACATATGAAATGGTAAACAGCACCCTTTGTGTATATGTAAAGCTAATCTGTCTCAATGAGAAAAACTTGAGAATTTCAATGAAAAAATGCAAAGAAATGACTGAATTCTCTATATACTTTTTTTTTTTTTTTGTCAGTCGTGGGGCTTGAACTCTGGGCCTGGGCGTTGTCCCTCAGCTCTTCAACTCAAGGCGAGCGCTCTACCACTTGAGCTACAGTACCACTTCCATGACTGAATTCTAAAAACCCTTTAATTTTTTTTTTTTTCTCTTGACCATAGGGCACTGTCCCTCAGCTCTTCAGCTGAAGGCTAGCTCTCTACCACTTGAACCACAGCACCACTTCCAGCTTTTTCTGCTTATGTGGTGCTGAGGAATTGAACCCAGGGCCTCTTGCATGCACAGCAAGCACCCTACCACTGAGCCAACTTTCCAGCCCCCTTTAATATTTATCGAGTTAATAATGGACCAACATATATTACTTTGTTATAAAAGGCAAGTGAAATGGCTCATAAATATTTACTGAGGTTTAGTGTCATAGTCTAAGCATAACTTAGTATTTAGCTATTTTAACCCTATAAAATAAGTATACTTACTAAACAGAGTATACTTTTAAAAAATGACATTTATACCGGGCGCTGGTGGCTCACGCCTGTAATCTAGCTACTCAGGAGGCTGAGATCTGAGGATTGCAGTTCAAAGCCAGCCCGGGCAGGAGAGACCATGAGACTCTTATCTCCAATAAACCACCAGAAAACCAGAAGTGGCACTGTAGCTCAGGTGGTAGAGCGTTCACCTTGAGCTGGGACAGTGCCCAGGCCCAGAGTTCAAGCCCCACGACCGACCAGAAAAAAAAAAAAAAGAATGACATTTATTTGCAAATGTATATATGTATGTATATTTATGTATGTATGCACATCTATATATGTATGTGTGTACTGGATTAATTGGAAATGTATATATGTGTATTCTTATGTATATGTATGCATGTGTATTGGATGGAAGTATAAAAGAAATCATTTACTTATTTTCAGCAGTCCTGTAGTTGAACTCAGTGCCAGGGCCTTTTATTTTCTAGGCAGGTACTCCATCATGCCCTTAGTTCCTTTTGTTTTTCATTTATTTTCCACACTAGAAAATGAGTTTTTGCCTAGAGTCATTCTCGGATTACAATTACTGTATCAGTACTTCCCATGTAACTAGGATAATAGGCATGTAATATTGTGCCCCACTTGTTCGTTGAGATGAGGATCTCGCAAATTTTTTGTCCAGAGTACTCTTGAACCTTATCCTCAGTCTATCCTAAGTAGTTGGCACTTTCGGCATGCACAACCATGTCTAGTGAAATGAGTTTTTTAATACCTGATAATCTTTATTTGACAGGATATTTAGGTATGAACAATGGCTAAATTTGTGTTTTAAAAATAAAATACTTGTGATTGGAATATTCCATTTTGTAAACCAGATGAAAACACTATATAGCTTTCTTAATGTTAATTACATGGGTTGGTTTCTCATGGATAGTGCATAATGTTTTGAAAAACAGATGTCATCATCAGGTATCAATAAACAGTTTTCTATTTTACTACCAGTGTCATTTTGGGGGATTAGTAAAAGTTCCAGGTGCCAGGATGAGGCTTTATTTTAAAATCTAAGTTTCTATTTATAACATAACAGTAAGATCATATTTAGTTAACATTTAGATGAACATTTGTCATTTTACTTTCAGAGTCATTTGAAGGCTTCTGAACATGCTTCTGATATCCACATGGTGAATTTTGACTATCATCAAATGGTTAAAGGAGGAAAAGCAGAAAAATTACATAGTATTTTTAAACCTCAAGTCCAGAAGTTTCTAGATTATGGGTTTTTCTATTTCAATGGAAGTGAAGTTCAAAGGTTTGTTAATTCTCATTTCTCTGCCCCTTTAAATTTTAATTTTGCTCTAATTCAACAATCATTCCTAACACTGAACAATAAAATTTTCTGTTTTTATATCTAGGCTTATAATTTGAAAGTATCTTTATACTTGATATTAGGCTTGGTTTTCTTTCTCTAGAATATACCAAATAGGAATATTAAATTTCAGTAATGAACATACATGGGACTGCAGTATACTGTGTGCTATCTGTGAAATTATCTATGAAATTATCCCACTTCCCTTTTTGAATAGTATAACACTTATTGACCTCAGTAAACATTACTAAGTACAAACTGAAGAAGAAGGCATTGCCTGTTCTCTGTCTCACTGTAATTTAAATTTCCAATAGTTGCAGATGAAACTAAAGGGAAAAGTAGAAAGAAAGGCTTAAGTTTGAAATAATAGGTTCAAGTACATTTTTATGAACAAAATGCCTTTTAATTTTTTCAATTTGTGTATTTCATTTTGTATCAGTGTTAGCAATTTTATAGGACAGTAAATAAAATAGAAGATTTTAGGTTTTTAAATATTCATTTTTAAATACTTGTCTTATGTCTCCAGTGAACCTGTTATTAACCTGAACATATATTTAGCTTCTAAGGGCCTAGTTAAAAATAAGTATGTGATAGATGTGTGATAAAGAATACATGGCAAAACATTAAGTGATAGATGGTGAATATATGGATGTTCACAGCATAATTTACCCTTGTTGTATCTTGAAAGTTGTGGTAGCCAAAAGTTAGAGGGAAAAGTAGTGCCAAATTCTCAGTCATTCTGTTTTTGTTTTTGTTTTATGCAAATTAGCCTTATAACTTTATTGAACTTGTTACAGATGCCAGAGTGGTACAGTGAGAACTAACTGCTTGGATTGTCTTGATAGAACCAATAGCGTACAGGCATTCCTTGGCTTAGAGGTAAAAAATAAGTTATAATATATGTGCCTTACAGTATATGCCCCTTTGAATGTTTTGGTAAAAGTCCAGCATTTTTAAACCAGTAGCTACAAGATAAAAAAACAGCAAGAGATGGAAATGACATGATGAAAATGAAAGTACCTGAGATTCAACTTTATATAAAGGTCTTGTTTCAAAGTTTTTCTTCTTTACCATGTACCTATTAAAATTCAGTCTAATATAGACAGTCTCAACCATTTGACCACAGCATCTCTCAATGCTGAGCTTTCCCATGTCTTTCCTGTTATGCAAGTTAGGATCATAAGTCTATGGTAGATCTTTATTTAATTCCATAAGATCTTTGTTGGTTGTGGAGTACTGTAAAAAGAAGAATAATGAGTAACTTTTTTTCCTTTAGTTAGTGAACTTAAATTAGGCATTCATCTTGCTCTCCAGCTTAGCATCTTTTCTATCTCAAAAGTGAAATACAATGTATAAAATGTACTTTTTATGTAACTAAATAAATTTTACTTATGGCTTTTCATTATGATTAATTTAGAAAATGTAAATGGATGAAAAGTAGAAAAACGGAGAAAGTAGAAAAAGTAGAGCTTTCACCGGCTCAATTTTGTTTCAATTTGTGGTTTTAAGTGACCAAGTACATTTGCATGGATTCAGCATAAGCTTATTTTAAACTTATAGCTGAAAATAAAGCAGATGTTATTTGTCAGGATGTGTCTTAGCTGACTCTGTACTACTGGTAGAGAGTCTATGCTATTCTAATAATGAGGCAAGGTTGGTTCTGTCCACTTCCTTGGAGAAGGAATAATAAAGGAGGTCCTGGGGGCTTATTTTGTTTAATTCTCTATGCTAACAAAGAACAACTGTAGTATAAATCTCTAGGTAATAAACGTATGTGGAATTTTTTGTATTCTTATGTATTCTGTGATTTTTCTGTAATGATGGATAATTGCATATTTCACAGAAAAAAAAAAAAGAAACCAGAAATGGGAAGGAGTTAAGTAAAAGTGTAATAGAGTGGGCACCCACTCTACTACAACCACCTCAGGATCTCAGTTCACCTCTGAGGATCTCAGTTCAAAGCCAGCCTGGGCAGGAAAGTCCATGAGACTCTTATTTCTGACTAATCACCAAAAAAGCTACAAGTAGAGCTGTGGCTTGTGGTAGAGCACCAAAGATTGAGCAGAAAGATTCAGGGACAGCGCCCAAGCCCAGAGTTCAAGCCTCAGACCAGTATACCCACAAAAAAATTCAGGACACAAAAATATTATTGAATTCTAAGTAAGGGAAACAGATGGGGTAAGGATTGTGCAATGCTTTGAATGCTAGAATTCACAGAGTAGAGATTAGTAACTGTTCTGAATGCTTTTATTGATATCTGAGATGGTAAAAAATGGTAGCTCAAAAGTCCTCAAACTCTTTGCATATTGGTTCTCCCCTTACATGCAGCTCTCTTTTATTTACATTACCACTATAGATTTTACATCTTAAAAGCTGTCTTAACTTTAGTGAGCTATATTATTTTATTTTACTTGACATCGTTTATGCAACATTACAAATGCAAAAGAAAAAATTAAACTTATTTATTCACATGTATTTAGCTATTTTTCTTTGTTCTAATGCATGCTGTTGCTTAATTAGATCCTCTGGTTTAGAGGATACTGTACGATTTACTTTATTTTATTTTTGCTGGTAGTGGGGTTTGAACTTAGGGCCTTGCATTCTTGCTCACAGCTGGCACTCTACCATTGGAGCCACACTTCTACTTTTGGCTTTTTGCTGGCTAATTGGAGATAAACGTCTCAAGCACCTCAATCTCAACCTCGATCCTCCTGAGTAGGTAGGATTATAAGCGTGAGCCAACCATGCCTGGCTCCATAAGATTGGTTTTAACATTTAATCAGAAAGAAATTCTTATTTATACGAGTAAAAAGTTATTTGTAGTTTTTGCAGATGCTTTACATTGAAGTGGGTGAGAGGTAACAGACCAATAAACTGTTGCTGTTTTCAAAGTTTAAATTTTCAATTTGATTATAGTAGTTTTTGAAAGTTATAATATATTATTACATTTATAAATGTTTCTCTTTTGTTGCTTTAGATGCTAGCTAAACAGCTGGAAGCTCTTGGCTTAGCTGAAAAGCCTCAACTGGTGACTCGATTTCAAGAGGTTTTTAGGTCCATGTGGTCTGTGAATGGTGACTCAATCAGTAAGATATATGCAGGAACTGGAGCTCTTGAAGGGAAGGCTAAGGTACATCTAGACCTGTCATAACATTATCAAAGTTCATTTTTTTTTATTCTCTAAAGAATGCTTTAAGATTGTCTTTTTAAAAAAACAGATAAACTTTTCAAGTTAAATATCTAGTTTAGAATTGTGTCATTTTTGCTTTTTTACCTTCTTTGATACTTTCTTCTGCAAAGGTATTAAAGATTAAATGTAATGCAGATGTTTTGTTAGGTATGACATATATAGTCATTTAGCGATAATCCACTAAGACACTGTATATTTGGGTGTATATGTTGATTATTTCTCATTGTTTTCTGTTGTATCTTTTAGTTTTAAGTTGTTTATACTCATTAATATGCTTTTCCTTTACCATAATTGTAATAAAATGTTCTGTATCATTTGGCTTTGTGTCTAACGCAGTGGATCAGTTCTTGCTGCTTAATAGGTGTGTGGCAGATGCCCTAGATATCATTGGATGAAGTTGTGACACCTTAGTCTTTTCAATTTTTTGTGGAGAAGTGGTCACCAAATAGCAAATAGTGGCCTTTGTTTTGGTTTGATTTGGTTTTTTTGGTTGTGGGACTTGAACTCAGGCCTGGGCGCTGTCCCTGAGCTCTTTTGCCCAAGATGCTAGATGGAAAGGTCTAGACATCAACAATCTATTCAGTAACTATGAACCCAGGATTAGTAGGGATTAATTGTTATCTTTTACTTATTTTATTTTGAAAAGGAGGCTATCAAACTGTATCAAAGTATGAGCTATTTAATTATAATTCCAAGTCTCACCATTATTTCTTAATTGCTGGTATTATCTGTAGACTACCTTCCTCTCTGCTAATTGTCCTTTTTATGGGATTTTGGAACAGCATTTGGGATTTTTAAAAATTATTATTATTTTATAAACTTAAATAATATTATTTAACTTTTTAATGGATCCCAGCCTCACTTGAATTTATTAGCAGCCTAAAATCTATACAGTTCCTCAAATTACTTCAGGAATACAAACGAGACATTTACCACCACCACCACCACCCCCTTTATAGTTACCATTTAGCTTCTTCAGCCTAGCAGCTGAAACTCTGTAAAGACACCATTTTTTATCTCCAAGGTTTCTTTCAGTTTCCAGATCCCCCTGTTTTTCTGCCTCTCATGGCATGCCCTGCCTCTACCCAAAGGGATTGGCCTTATGTGAAATGCTTTTTGTTCAGCTCATCATTTGTGTTGATTTTTATTTTATTTATTTAATTTTTAAATTATTAAATGATTTTTTTACTGAGGTTAAGTGATTACATAAATTTCACAAATTTCACAGTAGTGTGATAAAGTAATACTTAAAGTCACAAATATATTTTAATCTTCAAAAGGCAAATTGTCATTATCATGGTTTATAATGTTTGTGAATTCTGTGAGCTTTGACAATACCAACTATTTCTTCCATATTGGGTGATACATACATTTCTTTCTTTTGCTTAATGTAAGCTATTCCCTCTTCTCTCCCATCCACTCCCTCTGTATTGATTTTTATATGTATTTAGGTTTTAAATACTGCCTGCCTTTTAAAACCTAAAATTGTTAAATTTTCATTTGTTCTTTTAAAATAAAAAATATAACTCTTACTATTAAAAGCTGATTCTCTACAATTATTGCTTAAAATATTCTTTTATATTCTTCTGCCTTTTTGTTTCTACCATGACTATGACAATATATGTAGAGGTTACATATATTTTCAGTAGTCTTTTAGCTTTAACATAATATATTGATATGAAAATCTTTATAAAATATGCTACTCTGAATTGAGCTCAAATCTAACATCTTAACTGCTCTTTCTTTTCCTTTCTCTGGATTCCTTTTGATTAATTGCCTGATAATGTGAATGGTGAGTGTTTTTTCAGAATGTCTTTGTATAATGTCCTAGGGAAGGAAATAATATTTTAATGCCAGATTATGGTGGCAGTTAGTGGCACTTAGAAAAATTGCCTCTTCATTCTGCAAAAAAAATTCTCTTAAGTACTATCGTTTCTCTAAGAAATAAATAGTTACAAAACTTGAAATTTACAAGCTAAAGGCAAGAGTGTTTTATTGACACTAATATATAAGATTTAAAAAATGCTTTTTGCAGCAACTCAATACCTACATGAAATATGTGCTCACCAAAAGTTACAGTAAATTCACTCTAGGAATAAATATAATTATTTATTAACTTTTTAAAATGCTAGTCCTTCAATAAAAGATTCAGTTTCATTTTTAGTAGTAATTATTTTCTACTATCAAAGTAATTTGCAAGCCAGGTGCCAGTGGCTCACGCCTATAATCCTACTACTCAGGAGGCTGAGATCTAAGGATCACGGTTCAAAGCCAGCCCGGGCAGGAAGCGCTTGCCTTGAGCTGAAAAGCTCAGGGACAGAGTCCAGTCCCAGAGTTCAAGCCCCAGGACTGACCAAAAAAAAGTAATTTGCAGTTTTTCTCAGTGTATATATTTAATATGTCATCCTTAAGTTCTGTCTCTCCTACTATGTGAAAAGAACTTTCTTTCTTTTAAATTAATACATTTCTGTGACTTGATTATAGACAAGTTTAAACACTTACTGCCCTACATATCACTGTATGAGGTTGAGGCACCTTAGACTTTTCATTTGTTTGTGGAGAAGTGGTCATCAAATAGTAAAGAAAATAGTGGCCTTTTGTTTGTTTCATTTTGTTTTGTTTTTTTGGTTGTGGGACTTCAACTCAGGCCTGGGCAAAGTGCCTGAGCTCTTTTGCTCAAGGCTAGCATTCTGTACTTTGAGCCACAGTATGCCTCTTCCCATTTGGGGGTGGCTGATTTGAGATAAGAGTCTCATCAAGACTTTTTTGCCTGGGTTGGCTTTGAACTGTGATCCAAAGATCTCAGCCTCCTGAATAGCTAGAACTACAGGGGTAGACCACTAATAGTGGTATTTTAATATACTGGTTATGCATTCAAAATATAATGATCAGGTCCTTTTTATACTGACATTATATAAACCAACTGAATGTTCCAAAATGACTGTTGAGTTAAATTAATGATATTTAGAATGAAAGCCCATACTTCTTTTCCCTCAACAGGCTGGAAAGTTAAAAGATGGTGCGCGTTCTGTCACCAGGACAATTCAGAATAATTTCTTTGACAGCTCCAAGCAAGAGGCCATTGATGTTTTGCTCCTGGGCAATACTCTAAATAGTGATTTAGCTGACAAAGCTCGGGCACTTTTGACTACTGGAAGTTTGCGTGGTATGCATAATTATTTTACATTATAATTATTTTACTTATGCTATTTTTAGTCTTTCACAAAGTCCAACAAGTAAGTGTAAACTTGTTTATACATTTAATTGTAGTTGATTAAAGTAGTTTTGGAAAGAATTCTATACAGGTGAATTTTAAAAATTCTCCAAAAGAAGTTTGCCTATATTAATCAATGGTATTATTTAGCCATACACTTGGTATTTTTTTCCCTAGATTATTTATACTTAGATATTATGATAGAGGGATTAAGATTTAACTATTACTAACTTTATCCAAGGCAGAATTTCTTACATATGCAGCTGACTCTTAATAACATTCAACAATTTAATTGTATTTTTAAATGTTCTATTAAAAAAACCCTTAACTATAGTTATTTTTCTGAAATAACAAGTTTCTTTAATGTAGTCTTTTAATAGTTACTATTTGAGTGTTTAAATCATATTAGTGATTTAAAATAGTGCTTACTAATTGCTATTACCAGTTTTGATATTGAATATAAATATATAGCTTTCAAGATAACTTTTTATTTTTTATTGTAATCTTCTACTAAAATCAAAAGAATTTGAACTTATGTCAAGAAGCATATAACTATTATTATGGGAAAACTTGGCATTCATTGTAGACAGTTTATTAGACTTCCTTTCCCCACCCAGTTTATTGAAATATAATTGACAAAATTAGACTTTCTTAGTTCCACTTCTTTTCCATTATTATTTTATAGCATTGTGAACTTTTTTTTTCCTGTTCCCCTAAATGAAACCCTCAGTTGCTCCCCAGAAGAAAATTGTTCCTGCATTGAGAAATGCCCTCTCGGGTAATTACTTGAGTAGGTAGATGATCATGGGCTCTTTCAGAATTCCACATGGCTTGCTGAAGGTAGCCAATTACAACCAGCTCCTCAGGGATGTAAGGGGAACTGGGGCCTAGCCAAACTCTTAAAAAAAATCTCAGCTACTACTTTCAACTTCAGGCTTTCTTCCTGGCTTCTAAAACTGTAGAGATTGACTGATTTGTGTTTTGTCACCTCTTTCCACCTATGCCTACTTTGATGTGGAGGCATTATTAAGCAACAATTGAAAGTAAGTGGTTGAAGGAAAGAAGGGAAACAAAGAACCTGAGTTATTCCCAAATTTGAGCATCAAGTTTTCAGTTTCCTGCACACTTTACTATATGTAACATATGCCTTTTAAAAAGTAAGTCAGCTGGACTTGGTGGTTCATGCCTATAGTGCCAGCACTCAGGAGGCTGAAGCAAGATGAGTTTGAGGCCAGTTTCTGCTGAATATCAAGATACCATCTTTAAAAAGAAGCAAAATCAGTTCTGCTAAAATACTTGTTTTGAAACTGTGAATTTGTTCCAACATGGGTGATATATAAGGGAATGATTTGAGTATGCCAAATTTGCATGAGGTTATGTGTAATTTCATTGGCAAGCAACATTAGGTAAATGCAGAAAACTGTCCAACAGATCCAAGATGGGTACAAGCATATAAAATGCATGTACACATAAGCACAGACCTTCGATGTCTTTCCTACCCCAGTTCACTATGTGTGTTATGAGCCATACCCATCCAAACCTGATGTTTCAGCTTTCCATCCATTTTCCAATAGCCCTTCTTCCATTATTCCCAGTTAAACCATTCTGGTGCCCATTTCTCCAAGCCAACTTCATATTTTTTCCAAGATGAAGTGCCTTATAAGTATTCATGCATTTTATAACAACATGCATGGTACTATGCTGATTTTATTTTTGGTGTGTCACTGTCAAGTTTCAACCCCATTTTTCCCATAAGCCCCATGGCTATGGGAATTTATAACAGTTTTGCATAGTGCAGTGATATTTTTAGAATGTGTATATCTTGTCATAGCTAAACTGTATGTCTTAATAGGTGAGTCTCAGAAGAAGTACTAAAAGGTACATAAGATCACACTCTCCATATCTTCAGTGTCTTTCAGCCTTTTACATTTTCACACTCATAGTCTCACTCAAACACATGCGCCAAAACACCCACATATACACAGGAGCAGCTGAAAGAGCAAGGGTATAACCTTCTGATTGTGAAATGGTGAGTATCACCCAGTCACATTAGGATTTCCTTAGCTTCAGAGGGTTTCTATCAGTCATTGGTATTTTGGTTGTAATTCTTGGTGGGTCTATAACCAACAGAAAGGAATCAGGTCATCAGATTGACTTCAACTGAGGCCATCTCATAATGTTTTGTCATTATGCTCTAGATTTGAACTGTAACTTGTTTTACTAATGATTCTTTTGTTTTCTTCTTGATGCATCCGTAGTTTCTGAGCAGACATTACAGTCAGGTACAGTATAGAAAATAAGAAAATAAAAAGTCCTTTCTTTGTGTTACACAAAGATATAAGATTTGAAACTTTCTCATTTTTCCTCAGAATCTAACAGGGTTAATTGCTATTTTAATTTGGCAAAAAAATTAAGTTTTTGCAACTTATTTCATTCAGAAAGGAATATACAATATTTTTGTTTTGCATCAAAAGCTTAGTTCTAATTTAAGATAATTCAGCTAGTTTTAATTTTACTTTTGTATCTCAAGCATTATTAGTGTTAATACCTTATTCTTATAAGGCTATTGGAAAAAAAATCAGATGTGACTACTGGATTAATTTGAGTACTGTCTCGAGCCAGCACTGGTGGCTCACGCCTGTAATCCTAGCTACTCAGGAGGCTGAGATCTGAGGATAGCAGTTCAAAGCCAGCCCGGGCAGGAAAGTCCCTGAGACTTTATCTCCAATAAACAGAAAACCAGAAGTGGCGCTGTGGCTCAAGCCGTAGAGTGCTCGCCTTGAGCTGAAGAGTGCAGGGACTGCACCCAAGCCCCACAACCGACCAAAAAAAAAAAAAAAGAGTACTGTCTCTGTGCCATTTATGAATACTTAAATCTGTAATGCCCATGAAGTATTTGAGAAGGCCTTATCTCATTCTTTTACATTGTAGATGACCAGTTTCCTGTAGCTGCAGACTTAGACTTAAATGTGACCTGAATCTTGTAATTTTAAACTTCACCAATATTGCCAACAAAGGCAGAATAATTATATATAATAGTTATTATCTTTCTTCACTACTTATTCATCGGGCTCTTTCTTGGACTACATTGATGATCTAACTTTAAAGATAAATCTATGACAAATAAAAAAATAACTAAAAAGAAGGAAAACTTGCCAGAAACTTAGCTGAGTTTCTCTCATTCTTAAGATTTGGCATTAATTGATAATTTTGCCTAGTTATTGATCTAAAGCTTTTGAGAAGCTGGGTGGTTGTTGCTTGAGAAAAGTGGAAAGGAATTGCTAATGTTTTGAAGTTATGTAATGAACACAGCTTTCTGAAATTAGGCTGTATTTAGAGATGGACATGTTTTGTGGGCACAAACTCCTATCTTTAAGCACTATCAGGCAGTTGTTATGAACAAAGTAGGTTTATATTTTTTGCCTTCTAATTTCATTGAAAGACTGATTTGACTTTACTGATTTAAAAGTAGGAAACTTTTGTTCACACTTTTTATTGTCCTCTGAATATTTTCAGCCATATGTTCATTAAAAGTCTGTCTCCATTATAGTAAGATGATAATGACTTTAATTATAAAGACCAGTGGATCAGTGCTGTAATCCTAGCTATTTAAGAGGCTGAGATAGGAGGATCATGGTTTGAGCCAGCCCAGATAGGGAAGGCCTAGAGACTCTTATGTCCAGTTAACCACAAAAAATTCAGAAGTGGAGCTGTGGCTCAAGTGGTAGAGTAGCAATCTTGAGCAAAAAAATCTCAGGAACAGTGCCCAGGCCCTGAGTTTAAGCCCCAGGAAGAACACCAAGCAAAAAATAAATAAACAAATAAAAATTTTAAAAAGACCAATAATAAACTATAGTAATAAAACTGAGGTTTTTCTAATTATAGTTAGTCCTATCAACAAAAAGTGGTGGGCAAATAATCTACTTTTATTATTACCTAGTAGAAAATAATCGTATCAAATAGTAAGAGGGTTAAGAATCTGCATGTATGGACTGGGAAGGTGACTCACAGTGGTAGAGTGCTTGCCTTGCATGCATGAGGCCCTGGGTTCAATTCCTCAGCACCACATAAGCAGAAAAAGCCAGAAGTAGTGTTGTGGCTCAAGTGGTAGAGGACTAGCCTTGAGCTAAAGAGCTCAGGGACAGCGCCCAGGCCCAGAGTTCAGGCCCTACAGCTGGCAAAAAAAAAAAAAAAAAATCTGCATGCTTGCTCTTCGAACCACTGGGGAAATGACTATCATCCAAATCCACAGTTCCTGTAGGTAGTCCACAAATCAAAATTATCTTCAAAATAGTGACATGTCATTTACCTTTTCCACTCTTTTCCTCTGGAGACTGCTGGTATTATAAAGTAATACTAGAATAAAATATGATACATGATAGGAGGTTAAAATAGTTTTGATTTAATTTTCTTCTTATCAGTTAACTTCAAATTAATTTTGTCTTTAACCTGAATTCCTGTTAAGGTTCTATTCATTTCTTTTTTTTCTGGTCCTGGGATTTGAACTCAGGGACTTGCCTCTGTCCTTGAGCCTCTGATCTCAAGGCTAGTGCTCTACCACTTAAGCCACAATGTCACTTCCATTTTGACTAGTTTATTCGAGTTAAGAGTCTCATGGACTTTCCTGGCTTTGAGCAGTGATCCTCAGATCTTAGCCTCCTAAGGACCTAGGATTACAGTTGTGAGCCACTGGCTCACTTTTAAGTGCCAAGAATTTAAGGCAAATAGAATATGGCTTAGAAGGAATAAAGATATGTGGCAAACAAAAAAGGCAGGAGAGAGACTGAGAATTCAAAATGCATGAACATTAGTTATTTAATAGTTATGTATTGAGGACTTTCTGTCCTAGGCACTCTTTGTTACTGGAAATGGGGCATTTCTACCTTCAGAGAGCTTCTCATGAAAAGACTGGTTACAGGATAGATGAGTATTAATTACTTGGAATTTCTGTAACCAATAGTAATGCAGATTTGTTTTTCACATTTTGGAATATTTTCAGAGATTTTACTTCTGAGCATCTCTAATCTGAAAGTTTGATAATCAAATTTTTGAGCATTGTGTTAGCACTCAAAAAATGTTGTTTCATGGGGCTGGGAAGGTGGCTCAGTGGTAGAGCGCTTGCCTTGCATGCTCGAGGCCCAGGGTTCAATTCCTCAGCACCACATAAGCAAAAAGAAAAAAGCCGGAAGTGGCGCTGTGGCTCAAGTGGTAGAGCGCTAGCCTTGAGCTGAAGAGCTGAGGGACAGCACCCAGGCCCAGAGTTCAGGCCCCACGACCGGACCCCCCCCAAAAAAAATGTTGTTTCAGATTTTCAGATTTTAGGTTAGAGATAGTAGTCTGTAATTGTAAATGCAGTAGCAAAAATTAGCAGAGGGGGGCAGAGAATAGAAGATTAAGAGCAGGGAGAAATTTTTAATGAAATAGAAAGGGAAGGCCTCACTTAAAGGTAAAGATCCAGGGTTTGGGAAGGTGGCTCAGTGGTAGAGTGCTTGCCTTGCATGCATGAGGCCCTGGGTTCGATTCCTCAGCACCACATAAGCAAAAAAAAAAAAAAGCCGGAAGTGGCGCTGTTGCTCAAGTAGTAGAATGCTAGCCTTGAGCTGAAGAGCGGAAGGACAGTGCCCAGGCCCAGAGTTCAGGCCCCACAACCGGAACCCCCCCCAAAAAAAAGTAAAGATCCAAAGGAGATGAATGAAGAGTGTTACATACTATGAGAACAACCCAGTGCAGTGTGTTCTGTGGTAGGAACAGGCTGTGATCTCTTTTTAAACAAAAAACAAGGTAACAGGGAGGACAGTAACTAGGTGGAATACACAGATGAGGGCAAAATGGCAAAATCTTAGGTATGACCTGTTAACAATGTTTAAGGACTCTGGCTTCTACCTGAGTGAGATGAGAAGCATTTAGTAGCAATTTCACTTTCAGACATCTCATTTTCTTCCTCTGTGTGTGTGCGCGCGAGCGTGTGTGTGTGTACATACATACATATATACACACATACACATATGAGAATAAATATATGTATATATGTGTGTGTGTGTGTGTATTTTGTGGGGGGGTTAGGGATCCATTATTCATCAAGACCACCTGTTAGTAGTAAAGACTGTAAATGTACTTGTTAAATGTTTTTGCTTGGGAAAAAAATAAATTTTTTATTTATATTTATTTTAAATAAAAGTTGAATGAAAGTCAGTTGCTATATTCCTAAAAATGTATGGGTTTTGTTTTGTACATCATAAAATGGCATACCATTTCACTGAAACAGAACTGTTTGTTCTGCATGTATACTGCATTAAATATGTAATTTTTTTACATTGCTATATATGTAATTTTGTGGCCTGTTTTAAAAACCCGTGTTGGCTAGGTGCCTCATTCCGGGCTTTGCACTCAAGACTGGTCTTTTTTTTCTTGTGCCTGTGCATGTATCTTGTTTGTGCTTGTGATGATGTTCTTTATGTTTTTCTAGATATACTCTTAGTTATAAAGATCAACTTCTATAAATGGTTTAATGTCACTAAAATTCTGTTGTGTCTTGGTTTTGATTAGCATCTTCAAAAGTACTAAAGAGCATGTGTGAGAACTTCTACAAGTATTCAAAGCCCAAGAAAATTCGAGTATGTGTTGGAACCTGGAATGTGAATGGTGGAAAGCAGTTTCGCAGCATAGCTTTTAAAAATCAGACACTCACAGACTGGCTTCTTGATGCACCCAAGTTAGCTGGCATCCAAGAATTTCAAGGTTGGCTTTTCATAATGTGGGTTTAACTAAATTCTGACTGACTGTGGAACAAGTACTTCATACTATGCATTAATTTATTAAAGACATTTGGGCTTCTTTTATATCTTTAAAGCCAACATTTCTATACATTAAACCTATTAAAATCTTTATCTCTTTTTTTATTCCTAGTTCTCTTTTCTTTTCAATAATAGAAAAAAATCTTAAATGATTTTTAGAGATAAGAAAAAATATGTGGATGTATTTTCACTGTATTTGATGTTGGTATATTTGGGGAGTGGAAGGGAATAAACAAATTGTTTAAATAGAGATACAGGTGGACCAATTGCAACAATGAGATGTACAAGACGCTATGTCGAAAAACAAACTTTACAATTTAGGGTGGGGAGGGAGTATAGTTGTAGAGATGGGAGGGAAGGGATGGTAGGGGAAAAACAAAGGAGGCGGCCACAATGCTTGATAAGAAATGTACTCATTACCTTGCTCATGTAATTGTAACCCCTCTGTACAGTATTTTCATAATAAAAAACTTATTAAAAGAAAAAAAATATGTGGGCTGGGAGTGTGCTTAGTGGTAGAGTACTTGCCTAGCATGCATGAAGCCCTGGGTTGGATTCCTCAGTTACCACATAAACAGAAAAATCCAGAAGTGGTGCTGTGGCTCAAGTGGTAGAATGCTAGCCTTGAGCAAAAGAAGCTCAGGGACAGTGCCCAAGCCCTGAGTTTAAGCCCCAGGACTGGCACAAAAAGGAAAAAATATGTAAGGCAGCCAAACATGCAAGAGAAACTGATTTTGTTTTGTTCTTTTCAGTGGACACAAACCAATTATTTTGTAATTGAAAACTGGAATTTTATATTCAATTCTAGTTTGTCCCATTTTTCAGGGTGGGTCTTATAATATTTATTGGCACTTTATAACTTAATAGTACTTGTTTATCCTATCAAAAACTTGGTTGTTGTTCTGTTTGTGTAACCAAGCTGTTACTAGGCATAGACAAACATTAAGCCAAGGATATTTTCCTTATGATCTTGATTAGATTCTAGAATTTATGACCATCTTGTTAAGACTTTTTATTATGTATTAGGTGAAGTGTAGAAAATAAAATTAGATACACATTCTTTTTTAGTATTTTTTTTTTCTTTTGCTGGTATGTGGGCTTGAGACATAAAGCCTCATGCTCCTTGGGCTTTTTTTCTCATGGCTAGTGCTCTGCCATTTAAAGCCATGCCTCCACACAGCCCTTTTGTTGGCTAATTGGAGATAAAGTCTCAGAGACTTCTGTATGGCCTGGCTTCCTTCACACCATGTTCCTCCAGGTTTCAGCTACCTCAGTAGCTTAAGTTGCAGATGTAAGCCACACCTGGTGTTTTAGTTGTTTTTAATCAGTTGAATTTTTCTGAGATTTTCCCACATTAAAGTGGGAAAATTAAAGAGTGACTTTCACTTACATTATCCAAACTAGAAGTAATAAAAGTAGTAGTAATAACAAGATAGCTATTCCTATAATTCTAAGTACTTTACATATGTTTATTTAATCAAAACAGTAAATCTGTTACAGTGATGGATTTACAATTTTGCAGTAGAGGAATGTAGACACAAAGGGAAGTAACATTCTCAGTCATATAGTCAATAGTGTCAGTGACACAGAATGTGAACGCAGGTAATCTGAATCCAAAGTCTCTGTATCATGCTGCATTTTATGTAGGAACTTGAGCAAGTTGTTTGGGTTCTCCAAGGCCTCAATGCAAAAAACTGTTTCATTAGATGATAATTAAATGAGACGGCAAAGGTTTGAGCCTTGTACATAATGACAATCAATATATATTTTGTATTTCTCAGATTAGTCTATAGTATTTGCTCAGTCATTCTAGCTATTTGTCATTATTTCCCATTCTTAGAACCTATAAAATACGCTGGCCTACTTTATCTGGAGCACCTTTTGTTCTTTTTAGTCCTTTTCAGTTATGAGAGGACGAATAGCTAGGAATAAAGTGATGTGTCATACATAACCCTCAATTATCTTCTCATTTTCTTGGGTTTCTTCCAACCAGGAAATAACAAAAAAGAAATTTTTGAAAGATCAAGTTTGGATGTGAAAAATGCTTCCCAAGTATCTTCAATTTCAAATAGATTCCTAGTTTCTTTATTCTTTGTTCCTGTTCTGAATAGTTCCTTTACCTTTCCAATGATCTTGATTTTCCAATTCTGATTAATTTTATCCTTAGAGAAGTGTCTTATTTCGCTGCTATCAGTGGTCCAAACTTTAGCAAGAGTTCTTTCTAAATGATTCTTGGTTTAGGGATCTTTAAGAATAACAGTCTTGGGGCTGGGAAGGTGGCTCAGTGGTAGAGCGCTTGCCTTGCATGCTTGAGGCCCTGGGTTTGATTCCTCAGCACCACATAAGCAAAAAGAAAAAAGCTGGAAGTGGAGCTGTGGCTCAAGTGGTAGAGCGTTAGCCTTGAGCTGAAGAGCTGAGGGACAGTGCCCAGGCCCAGAGTTCAAGCCCCACGACTGGACCAAAAAAAAAAAAAGAATAACAGTCTTCAGAGAAAAGATGTAATTCACATGCCTGGTAAGCATGCAGCCTTGAGTTCAGACCACATAAATATAAATAAGTATAAATAAATAAATATTAATCTTAATCAAGTTATAAAGATCTTTTAGCAGACATTGAATTTAAAGCAATATTATGTGAATCATGAGTTTTTACTTTTTAATATGAATTTGGTTAAGCTTAAAAACAAAAATGAGCCAGGCCTGGTGGTACATAACTCTAATCCCAATACTCAGAAGGTAAAGGGAGGAGAGCTTGAGGTTAGCCTGGACTACATAGTGAGCTTTGTCTCAAACAAGCATACAAACAACAGTCCCTAAGAATTTTATGAGATCCTGTTCTGTGTTGTGTTACATTAGGTGGGTTGCCATTTGAATAAGGCTATATTTAAAGGTATTTCTTGGATGCTTAATTGTAGACAAAAGAAGTAAGCCAACTGATATATTTGCAATTGGTTTTGAAGAAATGGTAGAGCTGAATGCTGGAAACATTGTGAATGCAAGGTAAGCTAACCAGGTAGTGACACTGGAAAATTGTGCTGTGAGGGACAAGGCAGACAGGGTAGCTTAATGAATTGTTATGAGAATACGTTAAGATAATAGATGGAAAAGTGCTTTTGAAACTGTAAATAGCAGTTCTCAAACTTTTTGGTTGGAAGATCTCTGCACACTTAAAAGTATTCAGAATTTATTAATGTTGGTTATATCTCTTGACTTTATTATATTAGAAATAAATAAAACTAAAAATCTGTGTACATTTATTTTTAAAAAGCAGTCATAGGTCCATTACAGTTAGCATGACTTTAAAAAAAATGACACTTCCAAGTAGAATAAAGGGAAAAAAAGCAATAATATTTGCAGAGTCGAAATGTACTTAATGTTGAGCTTAAGACAGAGGGATTCTTACATGCATTTGCACTGCAGTGTTTTGCAGTGTGTTGTTTTGAAATGTGTTAACAAAAATTTTAAAAATTAGTTAGAGAAGCAAATATTTTAACTTTTTAAGATAATTTCTTCTCTAATACATACCAAAACTCAACAAATGAGTGTCCTAATTGTTCATTTCAAAGGAATCTGAAACTATATATGTTTCACGCCTCATCTCTACTAAAGTTCATTGATTTTTTTAATCTTGCATGATTTTATAACATCATGTATGGGTTATTTAGAAAAGTTCACTATATGTACTGACAGTCTACAAGATTGACTCATAGAATCTAATCCTCATATTGGCTATTAGCTGAAGAGCTGAGGGACAGCACCCAGGCCCAGAGTTCAGGCCTCATGACCAACAAAAAAAAAAGTTCTGTCTAGACAAACTACAGCTGATTACAATTGCCTATGCAATGATAAAATTAGAAAATCAACATTTTGCAGTTATTAGTAAAATAATAGATTTAAGCAATGATTGTCAATTATATTAGAAGGGTTAATCGGGGAACTTTGGAGTATGGCAGACTTACTGAATGATAATAGCCTCTCCCTATGATTCTAGGGGAAGTACACAGCACCAGCTGGGAGGTTATTTTTTTTTTTTGCCAAAATAAACATTGAACTTAAGCTAAATATCTTTCTTAATCAAGTTTCTACGTCAGTCAGTTTAAACGAGTATCAGTCATAGAGCGATAAAATACCAGGAAGACACATCAGCCAAATCCGGATTGTTGAACATCAAGGGCAAATGTCCTGGTTTTCTTTAACAACAACAATAGCACTAAAACAGGTTTACAAGGAGGATTGAGAGACTAATAAGACTGAGAGAGATTCAAGAGCCTTGACAAACTAACTGTGTTATCTAGGCCATATTTGGCCCATTTTAGAGAACCAAACCAAGTATTGCAGGACATTTTGTAGATAATTTTGGAAGTTTCAATATTAACTCAGTGTTAGATGATATTAATGTTTAACTGTGATGATGGCCTTGTAGTTATGTAAAAATTAAAATGTCCTGTTGTAGCCATGTGTAGTGGCTCAATGAGAGGATTGAAAATTTGAGGCCTGTGTAGGCAAAGAAGTTCAAGAGACTTCATCTCAACTAATGGTTGGGAGTAGTAGTGTGTGCCTGTTATCTCAGCTATAAAGGAGGTATAATATCTGGATACTGTGACACCTGTTACCCTAGCGATTCAGGGAAGAAAAAGTAGGAAGATCACAGCCCAGGTTGCAATATGGAGTGAGAACCCTACTTCAAAAATAACCAATGGAGGGGCTGGGAAGGTGGCTCAGTGGTAGAGTGCTTGCCTTGCATGCATGAGGCCCTGGGTTCAATTCCTCAGCACCACATAAGCAGAAAGAAAAAAGCTGGAAGTGGTGCTGTGGCTCAAGTGGTAGAGTGCTAGCCTTGAGCTGAAGAGCTGAGGGACAGTGCCCAGGCCCAGAGTTCAAGCCCCACAACCGACAAAGCAAATAAATAAATACAATATCTTCTTAAAGATTCCTTTTTTTAATATTTTTGTAGCACAACAAATCAGAAGCTCTGGGCAGTAGAGCTTCAGAAGACAATCTCCCGAGACAACAAGTATGTGCTGCTGGCTTCTGAGCAGTTGGTGGGCGTCTGCCTATTTGTTTTTATCAGACCACAGCATGCTCCTTTTATCAGGTCAGTAAACCAAACACTCTCCTATGAGAAAAAGGTGTAGAGAAACACTTGTCAAAGTTGTGTTTTCAATTCAAGAATCACTAATAGCTTCACTGTAGTATTTTACAGAGTTTTCCTTAAAATACCACATGATGATGAAGTTATATCATTATATATAATCATATAATTTCCTGTTCACCGAACTCATCTCCCCTTTAAAATTCTTTGTTTCAAAGGGATGTTGCAGTTGATACTGTGAAGACTGGGATGGGAGGTGCAACTGGAAATAAGGGAGCAGTTGCAATCCGCATGCTTTTCCATACCACCAGTCTTTGCTTTGTCTGTAGCCACTTTGCTGCAGGGCAGTCACAAGTCAAAGAACGAAATGAAGATTTTGTAGAAATAGCACGAAAATTGAGTTTTCCCATGGTGAGCTTCTTCAACTTGTAGTTTTGTTTTTGTTTTAACAGTATTGGGGCTTAAACTGAGGGAAGGGTTTCCTTTGGAAGTATATATCTCTCCATGACTCTATTCGTTTTTAGTAACCTTGCTATGCAGATCTCTATCATGATAACCTTGCTTCTAGCCCTTTTCTGCTTAGGTTGTAGGGTTTTGCGTTGTTACCTGGGACCAGGGTCAGACAGCAATTATTTGTTACCTAATTTTTTGCAAGGACTAGGTTGAAACTACTTTCCTCCAGATCTCCCATCTCCTGAGTAGCTAGGATTATAAGCATGAGCCACTGCGTTTGGCCCTTGCTGTTTGTTTTTAAAGAAACTTTGAATTGTATTTTAATTTACCCCAAATATCCATGTCAGGGTTTTTGAAATTTTAAGATAGTTCTTAGAACATCAGCAATATTCACTATTTTTGTATGTTGTTACTGTTGGGGTAAAGAAAGAAGGCTTGGATGGAAGCAAGCTTATCTGAGGCAAAGAAGTAATGTAAAACCTTTTTTCATTTGATTGCTTTGAATTTAAAATTCCATCTCAATGCTTATAGGGAAGGATGCTGTTTTCTCATGACTATGTATTTTGGTGTGGTGATTTCAACTATCGAATTGATCTCCCTAATGAAGAAGTTAAAGAACTCATACGACAGCAAAATTGGGATTCTCTCATAGCAGGCGATCAACTTATCAATCAGAAAAATGCTGGACAGGTATATACAAACTTGAGAAAATACTTGCATTAAGTAGAAGGAGATTTTTTAGTTATGAAACATTCTTTCCTTAAGCATTATTTTTAAATTTATTGAAAACCATTTACTTAAAAACACGTGTGTATACAGAATTACATTTCCTAAAAGAAAGAAAGAGGGAGAGAGACGGGCTGGGAAGTTGGCTCATGGTAGAGCGCTTGCCTTGCATGCCTGAGGCCCTGGGTTCGATTCCTCAGCACCACATAAGCAAAAAGAAAAAAGCCAGAAGTGGCGCTGTGGCTCAAGTGGTAGAGCGCTAGCCTTGAGCTGAAGAGCTGAGGGACAGTGCCCAGGCCCAGAGTTCAGGCCCCACGACTGGACCCAAAAAAAAAAGAAAGAAAGAGGGAGAGAGAGAAGGAAGAAAAAGGAAGGGGAAAAGGAAAGAAAAGAGAAATAAATAATTCTTCCCTTAGGGAAGAATTCTCAGTCTTTAAGGTATTCTTTCAAGGGGCTGGGAAAGTGGCTCAGTGGTAGAGCGCTTGCCTTTCATGCATGAGGCCCTGGATTCAATTCCTCAGCACCACATAAGCAAAAAGAAAAAAGCCAGAAGTGGCGCTGTGGCTCAAGTAGTAGAGCACTAGCCTTGAGCTGAAGAGCTGAGGGACAGTGCCCAGGCCCAGAGTTCAGGCCCCACCAGACTCTTCCCCCCCCCCAAAAAAAAGATATTCTTTCAAACAGGAAATGGAAAGATAAACTATTGTGGGGAAGAGGACAGTAATTTAGCATCTTAGAGACCATTTGGTATAGTGTTTGGGGATTATCAGACTTGAATTCTTATACTCTAAGCACTGCTTAATATTGCTAGGTCTCTGCTCCTCATTGACATTGAAGAATATGACATTAGGCTAGATGATTTTGGAAATATCATACAGTTCCAAATGTGCTGTAGAGATGAAGTTGGGGGTTTCCATTTTTAAAGCTTTGATCCATTCTGAGTTTATTAAATGGATAAAAATTTGTCTGAGAATATCCAGCATGTAATAAACATCTCATGAATGGCTGTGAATAAAAACAAATTATGCACTCTGAAATTATTTTATGTATATTTATTTCAGATTTTTAGAGGATTTTTAGAGGGGAAAGTAACCTTTGCTCCGACCTATAAGTATGACTTGTTTTCTGATGACTATGACACCAGTGAGAAATGCCGCACCCCTGCGTGGACAGACCGAGTCCTCTGGAGAAGGAGGAAGTGGCCTTTTGATAGATCAGGTTAGAAATGGGCTTTTATATAGATGAATTAGTGAGAATGTTATGAGGAAACACAGAATGAAATAATTTCCTAAGAAAGTTTATCTAGAACAATATAGAAAATTCAAATATAGAAGACATTCTATAAACATTCATTTTTAAGTCTCTTTTAAGTGACAATTTCATATAAAAAGAAGCAAGGAAATATTTTTATGAAATTTCTGAGTGCTAATTCAGTTTTTTTAAATAAATAAATAATGCTTATTCAATGTATTTATGGAACACTAGTGAACTATATATGAAACACTTTTAATGTGAACGTGTCTAATGTTCCTGACTGTTAAAAATGTAGCTGAGCCAGGCACCAGTGGCTCACACTTGTAATCCTAGCTACTCAGGAGGCTGAGATTTGAGGATTGCAGTTCAAAGCCAGCCAGGGCAGGAAAGTCTGTGAGACCCTTATCTCCAATAAACCACTAGAAAACTGGAAGTGGTGCTGTGGCTCAAGCGGTAGAGCACTCGCCTTGAGCTGAAGAGTGCAAGGACAGCGCCCAAGCCCAGAGTTTAAGCCCCATGACCGACCAAAAAATAATAATAATAATAATAATTAGCCGACATTCTAGCCAGCCTAGATAGCAGAAGCTAATGTAAGGAAGGCAGCACCTCCCTGTTCAGTGAGATCTGCTTGTGTTTTCTTCTATTATACAGCTGAAGATTTAGATCTTCTAAATGCCAGTTTTCAAGATGAAAGCAAAATACTTTACACATGGACTCCTGGTACTTTGCTGCACTATGGAAGAGCCGAGCTGAAGACTTCTGACCATAGGTTTAAACAACCTCAATATTTTTAATGGCCTTTGAAGTTTGTTTGAAATATACCCTTTTTGAAACATTTCTAATACATTTATCTATCTTTATATTTTAAGGCCTGTTATCGCCCTGATTGATATAGATATATTTGAAGTTGAAGCTGAAGAGAGACAAAATATTTATAAAGAAGTAATTGCAGTTCAGGGTCCACCAGATGGTACAGTATTGGTCTCCATCAAAAGTTCTTTACAAGAAAATAATTTTTTTGATGATGCTTTGATTGATGAACTTCTGCGTCAGTTTGCAAATTTTGGTGAAGTAATACTTATAAGGTGAGTAAAGTATTTATCCACCAGCAGTTCATGATTCATATACAATAGTGTTTCTGTAGTACAAATCACCTAATTTAGTGTTTGAATAATATTTTAGGATTGCTGTCTTTAAAAAATCATAAGATGTAAGCCGGGTGCTGGTGGCTCACGCCTGTAATCCTAGCTACTCAGGAGGCTGAGATCTGAGGATAGCAGTTCAAAGCCAGCCCGGGCAGGAAAGTCCATGAGACTCTTATCTCAAATAAACCATCAGAAAACTGGGAGTGGCACTGTGGCTCAAGCAGTAGAGCGCTCACCTTGAGCTGAAGAGCTGAGGGACAGCGCCCAAGGCCAGAGTTCAAGCCCCAGGACCGCAAAAAAAAAAAGTGTTATTCAAAGAGCACAAATTTTGAAACTCAGTTCTCTACTTTAAAACTTGAGTTATGACACTTTTAGATAAACACTTAAAGATAAACTATATACAAATAAGGGATGGCTTCTGGTGATTCCTGTACAATGGAACATGTAACAAATCCTGTAACGAAGTGAAATATTACCAATAATTTTATTGTTTTAAGAGCAGATATGAGTAAAGTGAATGTACCTGGTGGCACACACCTGGAAACCCAGCTGGGATCCCAGGAGGCTGAGATCCTGAGTTTAAAGTCGGCATGGGCTACATAGCAAGAACATTGTCTCACATACATACATACATTCATTCATACATACATACATACAGTGGAGTGTTTTTTTTTCTCCCTCAGTTTAATTTCCAAACAATACAGATATGATGAATAGTCAGGAGTCATCTCTTGATCTTGGCTTCACTTGTTGACTTAACTCTCTGCCTTTTGCAGAACTGGATGCCATTTTCCTCATTTTAAAAGTGCTCTCTTCCATATGTATAGCTATGCTGAGAGATTGAATGTGTATGTGTGTTTGAATTCCCATAGAGAAGAAATACTATTGAATTTTTTGTGTTATTTCCTTTTTAAAGTATGTTTTATAGATGTTTTGGTGAGCAAATTTATATACAGGTGTTGTGGAAGAGCAAGGAACCTGAAGACATGACTTTTACTTGTAAGCTAGTTGGGAAGTCAACAGAATGGCTTCCTTAGATCTAAGCTACACAGCTCACAAAATTAAGATAGTTTGTTTCTGTAAAGTAGAAAGCATGCCTAAAACCTCTCAGGTCCTTCTAGAAAAGAAAGGAACAAATGTAGAGCAGATTGTTTTTAGACTGCCTTTAAATCTTTTGACAGTAATTTTTCTTAAACCTTTAAAAAAGGAACAAAACAAAGTGTCTTAAAATTTCAAGACTCTAGCAAGTACACAGTGACATCTCTCAAGTTTACAGATGACCATAAGCTATGCCAAGTACAGAAATGCCAGACCATGAAAAGCAGCTGGTGGACTGTATGAGTGGGCAGCAGAGTAGCAGTGTCTTCATGGAAAATGTGAAATATTACATTCAGCTAGAAAGACTCCAAATTGTATATGGGATGCCAGGCTGATACAGAAGACAAACTGTCTTTATAATCCATTGGTTCTTCCTGTTTGAACATTGGAGCCAAAGCTTTTCTCAAAATGTTTGTCACTACTAGGAAAAAGTATTAGAAAGAAACTAAGGCATTACTCTGATCTACAAACCACGGGTTGTCTTTGTACCTAGAATAGTCTCGTTGTTACACCTGACAAAAGCCAAGTTTGGAGGAGGTGGGAAACAAGGAAAAAACTGTTATAGTCAGCAGCAAGGCTAAATTACTACATTAGAATCTAGAGTGGCTAAAGTCTGTAAACTCCTTGGTATTTAAATAAAAGATTTCCTGGAAATGTAGATGGGCTAAATTCAGATACATATACTAAGAGGAAAGACTAAGAGTGAATGTAGGCAGGAAGAAAACAGTTTTCAAAAGGACCTATATAAATTCTTGGATGTAAGAATAAGAATCCTTTATTAAAATTAGAAATGTGAACCAGGAGCTGGTGGCTCATGCTTGTAAATCTAGCTATTCAGAAGACAGAGATCCAAAGCCAGCTAAGGCAGAACTGGGAATCCTACTACAGATCAACTAGCAAAAAGCAAGGCTGGAGGTGTGGCTAAAATGGTAGAGTACCAGCTGAGCAAGCAAAGCACAAGGTCCTGAGGTCAAATCGTATATACAGGGGAAAAAAATCTTAGAAATGTATAAGTAGCACTTTCCAAATCACGTATAAGATCCATGATATTAGCCTTGTCCTAGGACTATGACCATTTGATGAGTCCAAATTAGAAAAAGACAAGACAAAACTTAATCCCTAAAATCCCAGCCTGTGCACCAAATATGTTACCAGAAAATTTAGGGCAGCTAAACAATCTCAATTCTTGAATTTGACAGGAGGATTTAGGTAAGACCTAATAATCAGTAAAGGTGATAAAATAGTTTATTATAAGAAAAATAGGACAGAAAAAGAGAATGTGACATACAGATGTCATGTGGAAGACAGTAGCTTAATGCTATGCTGTCTTGTCCAGCTCCTTTTTATACAAATTGGCCTCAATGGGCTTCCTTTTCATTTCCTATAAGGTTGTGACACCAGATTTTATCTTTATTCTTTAAAATTTTTCACTTTTAGGGCTGGGAAGATGGCAGTGGTAGATAGAGCGTTTGCCTTGCATGCATGAGGCCCTGAGTTTGATTCCTAAGTACCACATAAACAAAAACCCGGAAGTGGCACTGTGGCTCAAGTGGTGAGTGCTAGCCTTGAGCTGAAGAGCTGAGGGACAGTGCCCAGACACAGAGTTCAGGCCCCACGACCAACCAAAAAAAAAATTTTTTTTAATTTTATAAAGTTATCTTTAAGTGGCCAGGCACTGGTGGTCCATGCCTGTACTCCTAGCTTCTCAGGAGGCTGAGATCTGAAGATCACGGTGCAAACCCAGCCCCAGCAGGAAAGTTATGAGAATGTTAGTCTCCAATTAACCACCAGAAAACCAGAAGTGGCACTGTGGCTCAAGTGGTAGAGCTCTTGCCTTGAGCTGAAGAGCTCAAGGGCAGCACCCAGGCCCAGAGTTCAAGCCCCATGACTGACCAAAAAAAAAAAAAGGTAGAGGGTTATAATTCAACATGTCAGTATATAAGTATAATGTATATTGATCAGTGTCAACCATTCCATCAATCTCTCCAGTTCTTCCAACCCTGGCCCCCTCCCCTCAGGTTCCACATTCACATACGTACATTGAATACTATGACAGAAAAGTCAGTTCTAAGAGGAAAGTTTATAGCTATCAGTACCTAAAGCAACAAATTAGATCGCAAGCTAATACTCCAACAATGTACTTCTAGCTCTTAGAAAAATAAGAACAAGCCAAAGGATTAGTTCAGAAATAAATGAACTAGAGACTTAAAAACCTGTGCAAAGAATGAACAAAACAAAAAATCCATTCTTTCAAAAGATAAAACAAAGCTATTATGCCGTTAGCCTTTCTGACCAAAAGTGGAAGATAAATTACTCAAAATTAGGAATGAAAAAGAGGATATTATAACAAATACAAGTGAAATCCAGAACATGTATTATAAGGGAATGCTTTGCAAACCTTTTACTCTTAACAAATTGGAAAGTCTGGCAGAAATGGATGTGTTTGTAGATAACCTTAAAGTACCAAAATTGAGTCAGGTAACAAGTAATGAAATTGAAATATCAATTTTTAAAAATCTCCCAATCCTGATAGATTCACAGCAGAATTCTAATAAGACCTTTAAAGAAGAACACCAATACTCAAACTTTTCTATTTTTTCCTCATTATTTTGTCATTATTTTTTTTAATCCCTGTCCCCATTTGTTGTTAGGCAGTTTTTGGTTTATCAACTTATTCTGCCCTAGTCCATAAATGCAGAAACTACCTGTTCCTATCATTTTTCTTTCTGTTGTAGCTACTTGCCCCTTTGTTACTACTAGCAAAGTGTGTTTAACTTGCCATAGGCCATGCATTCCCTGACCATCTTGCTATCACTTCTCCATTCTTTTGTCCTTGCCCAGCATGTCTTTCTATGTCCCTGTCCCTTTTGTAGCCCTGTGTCCCCATTTTCTTATCAGATTTTGGCTTATCAGCTTATGCCATCTTTAAAGGTGCAAAGGTGGCAATTCCCTGCCAGGTTTTCTACTAGCCCTTGTATCAAAACCATGAAGACTTTGGTACCACTGTCAAAGAACATGACATTTGGAGTAGTAGAGACTAATATAGGCTAATATCAGCCATTTTTGGTGTGTGTGTATGTATGTGTGTGTGTGTCCAGACAGGCAGAGAGACCCAAGGACATGTTTTTCTCTGTAGAGTATGTATTGTGTATCTTCGGTAGTTCAACCCCAACATGTTGCTTTGAATGCAACTGAATGTTATTATTTTATGCATATTACATATCTGTGGCCATCCTCTTTAGAATTTGTTCCAATGTGCTTTTTTTTTTTTTGGTCATGGGGCTTGAACTCTAGGCCTGGGCGCTGTCCTTCAGCTCAAGGCAAGCTCTCTACCACTTGAGCCACAGCGCTACTTTTGGTTTTCTGGTGGTTTATTGGAAATAAGAGTCTCACAGACTTTCCTGGGAGGGCTGGCTTTGAACCGTGATCCTCAGATCTCAGCCTCCTGAGTAGCTAGGATTACAGGTGTGAGCTACCAGCGCCTGGCCCAATGTTCCTTTATTTCTTTTCTCTATTTCCTGTGGAGGTTTTTTATTTCAGAAATACAAGTTTAGAGTCAAAGCAAAGACCACTGAAGACCCTGGAGAGTAAAAACATATCAGTGACTAAAGACAAGGACCTCAACTTTGTTCTTTCATTTTCATTGACACTCCATACCATGTGTTTTGCTCAAAGGAAGTGTGCTTCAGGGAAATCATGAGGCAATGGAAATGCATGGAACTTGATTGTGGAGTCAGGAGGCTTGGCTCCTAGCCCTAGAGCTTACTGTCCTATAAGGACATGTTGAACAGGGTTGTTCTCCCTGGCTATTTTGTTAAATGTAACAGTTAAAAGATATAGGAGTAGTGCTGTTTGTAGATAACTTCCATAACAAACAGAATAGCACCCTCTCCTGGTTATATCAGCCCTATGGCTGGCCTCCCTCCTCTGTTCCACTGCCTGGCCTCTGTGAGGCCATAGGCATTGGACAGATTATGTCTATGGGGTTAATAATGGTGTTGTGTGTTGCTTTTTTCTTTCCTAAAGATTTGTAGAAGATAAAATGTGGGTTACCTTTTTGGAAGGAAGCTCTGCCTTAAGTGTTCTGAGCCTAAATGGCAAAGAGGTAAGGAAGATTTGTTGATTCTAAGCCATTCAGAAACTGTTTGAAGATTATATATTATATACATGCCTCAAGATTATCTAAATGTGTTTTCAGTTAGGGGAGATAAAAGGCTTTATAATATATTAAAGGTTATTCCATTTTTTAAAAATTCAGACCAGTTTTCTGATTACCTATGGGTAGTTTAGTCCTCCCCAGAGATTAATCATCATACAAACAGAAAAGAAATGGTTATTTTATCATTATATTTTATGATACGAGATGTTTTAAATGTTGAATTAAGGATAGATATTCTGGCTTATCTATATAAAAAACTTTCTATTGAATAAAGAAAATGCTTTAAAAAAAAAACAACAAGGAAAGAGGTTGCTCTTCATTCCTAGGAATTTATTTTGTTGGCTTGTTTCTTGGTGCCAAATTTTCTTTTCCAAGCATAAAATAATTCCACTGAGGCATTTGAGAAGTTTGGGGGGAGTGTATAATTCTTTCTTCATTTTTAAGTTTAATTATGTAAGTTATGGGGTTTGAACTCAGCCTAGGCACTCAGGTCCCTGAGCTCTTTTGCTCAAAGCTAGCAATCTACCACTTTTTTTTTTTCCAATTTACTTTATTGTTTTATTGGGGTGTTTTTGTTTTTGTTTATTTGTTTTTTGTTGGTTGTGGGGCTCGAACTCTGGGCTTGAGCGCTGTCCCTGTTCTCTTCAGCTCAAGGCGAGCACTCTGCCACTTGAGCCACAGCACCACTTCCGGGTTTCTGGTGGTTTAGTGGAAATAAGAGTCTCACGGCCTTTCCTGCCTGGGATGGCTTTGAACTGTGATCCTCAGATCTCAGCCTCCTGAGTAGCTAGGATTACAGGTGTGTGAGCCACCGGGGTGCCCAGCTTTTATTGTTGTTTTAGAGGTGATATACAGGGGAGGTTACCTTTACATATATCTGGGAATAAGTACATTTCCTTTCACATAGTGTCATTTGTTCCCTCATTCTCTCCAATTTCCTCGCTCCCACTCCACCCATGAGTTCACTTTCATCAATGCCCTGTGCAACCAGTACACTCCACTGCTGTACTTTTTCACCCTTTCATTTTAGAAGTTTTTTGTTTTTGTAATGGAATCATTGATGGCCTGGAATAGTTTACTTCTATGAATTGCTATATCTATCATTTTTCTGAGTCTATTTTTTTCCAAACTCTTTTAGACAGTGTTTCTAATTTCTAAGTATATATGCTCCATTATAGAATACAGTCATTAAAATTGGATACCTGTTGCCAAATTGCTCCTTAGAAATGTTTTATTATATCATTCCTATTTTAAGGTTTTGATTATGAATTGAGTCTTTTTTTATTTTATTTGTAGATCTTATGTTCTACTTTACTAGCGGTCTGTTTCTCTAGTTTATTGTTTATTTTTCAGTTTTTTGCTGTTCTTACTGTTTGTCAGTGCTGGGGATCAAACGCTCCGGCCTGTGTATTCTAGGCAGATGTTCTACCATTGAGCAGATCCCCAGCCCCAGCCTATTTTCACACTAGGGTATTCATCCTATGAAATTCCTCTTATGCTATGGTATTAATTCTATCTCATGAAATCTTTCCCCAATTTGTCTTATAACTCTACTGTGTTTTAACTTTATGAAAATAACTAAGCTTTCAATTTAATTCTAGTCTTTCTCTCCTAGCATTTCTTCATCTCATCATGATGTAAATATTAAAGAACCCCTTTCAACTTGACATTGACAACTTTTCTCCCGAAAGTGTCCCTTTTTTTCTTACCTTGATAATTTATTTTTCTTTGTTTTGTTTTTCCCCTTTTCTACTCTGTCCATCACCTTCAAATCTAGTCATTTATGCTACACTCTTAGGAAGAGATCCCTCTTGGCTCCCTTAAAAGGCTTTCAAAACTCTTTAACAGTATTTTTGTGGAAAGTAGAAAATAATGTTTAATCAGTCCTTTCAAGAAATACATACTTCTAAGCCTCTAGTACTGGTGCCTTTCCTAATATCATTACTTCAGCCCTAAATCTGAGGGTCAATGACAGTTCTTTCCCCTCTGAAGATAATATGGAAAGGTACATAGCATAAGAAGTACAGAGAGAAGATGAACAACTCTCTGAACTTTTCATTACCACCATCCCAGTTTCTTCCTTTATAGGTGACTCTGATCTGATCTCTGCCAAGTAAGTGTTACTAAACAATTTGCATCTTAAATAGCTATATGGTAATGTGGGCTTAAAGATGATTATTAGTACTCTGGTGAAAATAAGAGTTTTCTTAACTTTAAGAAGTACTAAATGGCTTGCAAAACATGTCTAAATTGTGAAACCAAATCGATTTTATACGTTGTTTAGTTTAGCTGTTTATACCATTGCATAGTATAGCATACAAAATAGCTTTCATGTTGATGAATTTAATTTTATATCTCTTTTATCCCATTAGTTATTGAACCGGATTGTAACCATTACTTTAAAAAGTCCAGACTGGATAAAAAATTTGGAGGAAGAAATGAGCTTAGAAAAAATTAGTGTCACATTGCCTACATCAACAAGCTCTACTCTACTCGGTGAAGATGCAGAGGTTGCAGCAGATTTTGACATGGAAGGTTTGCTTGTTTACTCTACTTATTTCTGTAGTACTAGAGATGTTTCCTTCATATCACTAAGGTCTTACCATAAAGTTTACCTTTCTCTTCTTGAGATATACGTATCAGTATTAAGATTTATTTTGCTTATATTTAAGACTTTGTAATGTATCTGCCATTCATGTTAGTAACAGCAGAAATTAGTTCATAATAATTACTACAAAAGATATGTTTCAAAGTAATTTAAAAAGGCTCAGTGTGTTGTTTCAAGATGCATTTTACTCTGGGCTGGGAAGGTGGCACAGTGGTAGAATGCTTACCTTGCATTCATAAAGCCCTGGGTTCGGTCCCTTAGCACCACATAAGCAGAAAGTGGTGTAGAGCGCTAGCCTTGAGCTGAAGAGCTGAGGGACGGTGCCCAAGCCCAGAGTTCAGGCCCCACAACCTACCAAAAATAGAAGATGCATTGTACTCAAAAATAGATATGTTGAATTGTAACTCCTTTGTGCAGCTACTTAAAGATAATAAAAATATAATTTGAAAAAAGAAAGCTTGAGTGTGGAGAGGAACATATATATAGATATTTTGAAGCTGGATTCATGTATAAAAATTAACCATTTGAAGCTTACAAATTTGTATAGATTATTAAATATCATAGTTTCCTAAACATGATTTTAAAATGTATTTGTTTTCTAATGCAATATGCTATACCTAAGTGGTTGGGTATATTAAATGGTAGAGAATATGTTTAAGCATGTATCCTGGGTTCAATCCCCAGCAGTCCTCTAAAAATGTATACCTTAGTTTATAAAATGACAGATTCTCACATTGTGATGGCCCATTTAGGTAGTTAGCACATATAAGAGGTAAACATTTTACAAGGTTTTCTCCAGTTTTCACATGCTTTAGTCACATAACATGTGTAGTACCTCTTATGTGCCATGTACATACCAGGTACTGGAAATTGAATAGTTGTGGCCCTTGCCTTTCTATAACTCTCAGTGTATTGGGAATTATACATAATAATAATAATAATATAAATAAACTATAATAAAGTGACATTGAAGTGAAAGTGGGAGATGCTATGGTAGCTCATGGAAGAGTGGAGCAAATTTCAGTTTCAAAGGAACTGAAATGTAGTTAAGAACCTGAAGAGTAAGGGAGAATTGAATTAAAGAGGGCAGAGAGGAATGACTGGGAGAAAGCATGTATATGAGTATTAGAGGAAGAAAGAAGATGTGCATTGATTATGCAAATGTATTTGGGAGGGAGGTTAAGATGCAGTTGTAGGATGGAAAACAGTTCTTTTTAACCTATTGGATTTAAGATGTCTGTGGGGTCAGTTGATCCAGATGTCATGTATGTCTTATACTCAGAAGAAAAGAGTCTTGATTCACAAGGTAGGTATAAGCATTTTTTTTTTGGACAATAGAATCATGTAGAGACAAGAGAAATTAAATGAATATGGAGAAATAGAGGTCAAGAATAGACAAAAGAAGAAAGTACCATGAGAAAGAAACAATTAGAAATGTCCCAGCGCCAATAGAAATTTGTGGCATAAATAAATCAAGGAAAGTCCAGTCTTAAATACCATTTCCTTCATGGGGAACTAGAAATGTTTTAAATCTCCATTTCTCCCAACTTTCTCCTGTTATACCAAAATAAACCATTGCAAATTTTTCAAAAAAAAATCAAGGAAAGAAGGAAAAAAAGTATAACCAAGAAGTAGTCTGTGATATCTTGTAGTTAGAGAAATGAGAAGAGAACAGAAACCTGTCTTTCTGATTTAGTAATAGAGGAAAGCTGTTGGTGACCTTTCTAAGACTAATTTCAGCTGTGTGATAAAGTCATGTGATATCTCTCCAATTTCAGTGTTGTGATAACAAACACTTGGTGTTTATGGATGGAAGGTGGCAAAAATACAGTGAAGCAAAGATTCAATAGTGGGATGGGTGGTGGGTAGGATTTTATCAAGCAGCAGAGGTGGGAAAAACATGAATTAAGGAAATGACTGAATGCAGAACTGTAAAGCCTGACAACGCCCAGGCCCAGAGTTCAAGCCCCAGGACCGACAAAAAAAAAAAAACTATATACAAAAGAACGAAAAATTAAATAGGGTTGAAATGGGAAAGATCAAGTCCTGGGTTTCATTGAAGGCTAAAGGAAAATGAGTAACTTATGGAAGAAAACTTTCAAGGATACAGATTGAAGTTCTCCAGTTTAGTATCTTGAAGAACAGTCCGAGTGTGTGTTGTTAGAAGAAATTGCCAGTAAGGACCAAACCAAAGCCATTAGGTTATTGAACAGGTTGTCTATGTGGATTTATGTTACACAGAAAGAAGGCAAGACATATTCACCTCATATTCTCTACTAATAAATGGTTTACAGGTACTAGAAGGATAGAGTTTGGAAATTTCTGTGACAAGTAGCACAGAGGATACAGTATGAACTCCTAGTGGTATAGCTTTGAAGAAAGAAAAGTTGATGAAGGGGTGGAAGATTAATGTTCTGGAATTGGAATCTGATTGCAAAGGGCTTCTGACCCTAACCTGAGGCAGTAAGTAGCAAGGAAGAAACCTTGGGAGATAATCAGTATTCAGTTAAAGCCAGAAAAGTCTGTGTTGGGTGGGGAATATAAAGGAGAGACTCCTGGCTAACGGTGTGTGGCTGGCCAAGAGCTTGTTTACCATAAGCCAGACATGGATAGAGCACAACTTGACAGGTTTAGAGGGAGAAGAGTGATCAGCTTGAGTGCACTACCTACCCAAAAAATAGTGAAAGACCTTGTAGTCAAGCTAGCTCAGAGCCAAGTTGCTCTGGTGTTACATAGCTTTATATTTTCTGTTTTATACTTACAAATCTCATACATGCCTACATTTTATCCATGTGAGTTAGCAGTGTCCTTATGTTTGATTTGTGTATTTTAACACTTTAAATCTGAAAGTGAAAAAGAAAATTCCAAACTGTAACCTTGCCTTTCCTTAGGTGATGTCGATGACTACAGTGCCGAAGTGGAGGAGCTTCTTCCTCAGCACCTGCAGCCATCCTCAAGTTCTGGTCTTGGCACTTCTCCAAGCTCTTCACCAAGGACCAGTCCCTGCCAGTCACCTACAATTCCAGAGGGTCTTGTGCCTTCCCTTCCAGTCAGACCTAGTCGGGCACCATCAAGAACTCCTGGGCCCCCAAGTTCCCAGAGTACGTGTTTTCCTCGGAAGTTCTCTGTGTAATTTTTTCTGGCCAATGTGTTTATTTTAGAGACTCTTTGTTGTTTAAGTTTTGTCCCATATGCTGAGAGTCCTGCACACAAAAAAGAAGAATTTGTAGATAATATACTCTAAGTAAACAGAAACTCATTGTCATTGATGCCACTAGATGAAAACAATTCTCAATCTGTTTTCTAAATGGTTAGAGCTGTCTATATCTTAAAATTGGTGATTTTCTGTTGTATGGTTATAATCCATAACTATTTGAGTTTTTCTTTACTGACCAGCAGACTACACATGGTTTAAGTCAAACAGTACTTTGTTCCTTCTTAATAGGGCCAGTAAGTTAGATTTCAGCACTTGGGCCTAAGTAAGAAATCCACATATAGGTAGCATCATTATGATTATGGTACCAAAGGATAGTTTAATAGTAGGCTGTTTTGTTCTTCGCACTGAAAATAGATGCCATTTCTCATGTACAAACTTTTGAAGTTAGTAAAGTGGAACATGTATTGTACATATATATGAATTACATTCCAAACAACCAGCAGCCACTTGGAGCCTCATCTTTCCTACTATACTTCTTTAGGTTCTCCTGTTGACACTCAACCAGTAACTCAACTGCAGCAGAAAGATTCTTCCCAGACTTTAGAGCCCAAGAGGCCACCTCCTCCCCGCCCAGTTGCTCCTCCTTCACGTCCCGCACCCCCACAGAGACCACCACCGCCTTCAGGTAACCATCCACTGTCCATATCTGCTAGATTTAGAATTTCTTCTCCATTTTATTTAAAAATAAAAATACTTTAAAATGTTTTCATATCATTTTGACTACTTCAGCTTTTCTCAAAAGACATGATAGGTCTCAACAGCACCAGTAAAGTATGTTTACCAAATAGATTAATTTGTACAGACCTGTCTTCTTACCAGTGCACAAGAATAGTTGTTTGATTGTGCTAATTTGATGTAGTTAAACCTAGTTTGATGTACCAACTTGTACATTTACCAACTAGTAAAACTAGGTTTAATTTTTCAAATCCTCATTGCTAGCTTCATAAAATCATTAAAAATTTGCTAATTGCTATAAAATTTATTAGAAAAGTACACACTTCTCCCATTGTTTAATATAAAATTGTATGTGTTGAGATGTTTCTTTTGAAATATAGTATTGTTTCTTCAGTTATTAAGATTATATGCATTGAATATCAACTTTCTATGTTACTACTCATAATTCCTAATGATATTTGACAGTATGAATAATATAGATCTTGAGATTTTACTTCTTCATTTAATGTCATTTCCTTTCTGCTGCATATTTTCTTATGAACTATAAGGGTCTAGGAGTCCTGCACCTGCTAGAAAAGAATTTGGAGGTAACCATTTTCATTTGCTATCATGTGTGAATGCTGACTCATGAATGTTTTGGAGTTTAATCCCTATAACCTAGAAGCACTTAAGGTTTGTTAGATAAAAGTCAAGAGGAATAACATGTATACATTAAATTAAGAATAGCTCCAAGCTTCTGTTACATTGCTGTTAAGTACAAGATTAGTGCTCAGCTGGATACCCATGGCTCACACCTGTAATCTCAGCTACTCAGGAGGCTATGATCTGAGGTTCATGATTTGAAGCCAGCCTGCACAGGAAAGTCTGTGACAAGCTTATCTCCAATAAACTTTCAAAAAAAAGTTGGAAGGGCTCAAGTAAGTAGTAGAGAGCACTAGCCTTTGCAAACAAAAAGCTCAAAACAGTGCCCAGGCCCTGAGTATTCAAGCCCTAGGACAGCCATGGAGAGAGAGAGAGAGAGAGAGAGAGCTGAAATTTATCTGTCAGCTTTAAATATATGCGGAACTTTGCTTCCAAATGTAGTCAATTGAGTATAAAGAATTAATTCCCAAATGTCATGTTCATTTCAAAGAGGGTTCTGGTGCAATAGATACTGAACATTTCCCAAGTATTTGATTAGTGATGTCTAGTACAATCCTTTGCCAGTGGAAAAAGTTTGTGGGTTAACAAGCTTTCCTAGAAATACAATTTAAACTCAAAGTAATTATTTAAGATGTAGTTGTTATTTCCATTTCATATAACATTACTAAATCCTTCCTCGTTTGTTTATGTAAGAACTATATGGTTTTTCTTTATTTCAATGAGGAAATTTTTATTCACAAATGCAGTCAATTTGTTTAAGGTGTAGTTTGATTGATACAAAAACTTAGCTCAGTTGCAAGAGTGGATATATTTGATAAGTTGATTCAGTCTAGTTTCTGAGAATTAGAACTGCAAATCCAGTGTTAATATTACTGAGATCCACTGTCCATTCGAAGTTGGTCCGTTTTTATTCTAACCGCCTTATGATATTTCTAGTCAGTTCAAGTTCATTTGTTACAGAACAACTTCTCTTATGTGGAGATTTTGACAACTTTGTATAAATTATTTCAGCAGGCCAGCTTCCATAAAGAACTATTGGATGGTAATTTTTCCATTGACCTACAAATACATTTATTTTTCTAATTTCAGACTCATTTGTGTTTTCATGATAAAATGATTCTCATCATCTGCTTCTACAACTTGTAGAAAAATGTATCTCACTAGCATCCCAGAAGCTTTTAGAAATCTCTTAATTAAAAAAAAAAAAATGCTTCTCTGCCAGGCACTGGTAGCTCACGCCTATATAATCCTAGCTACTCAAGAGGCTGAGATCCAAGGATCTTGGTTCAAAGCCAGTCTGGACAGAAAAGCCCGGGAGACACTTATCTCCAATAAAGTTCTCAAGAAAGTGGCACTGTGGCTCATGTGGTAGAGGACTAACCTTGAGCAAAAAGAAGCTCAGGGACAGTGCCTAGGCCCAGAGTTTTAGCCCCAGGACTAGCAAAAGAAAAATTAAAAAAGCTTCTCTTCAGAATTCTTTTGTAGACAGCTGTTTTCAACATATTTTATTCAATAAGCAATATTTCCTCTAAGATAGTGAGCTTGAGAAAAATCATGATACTACACTTAAAGTTTAAAAATATGTATATAGACCAAAAACTAATAGACCTATGCAATCTTAGAAATTTAAAATCAGATTGAAACTTTATTATTCATTTTGACTTAAATAATGGGGCTTGTGTCAGTGATTTAACTATAGATAGAAGGAATGAGATCAGAAGACAAAGGCTTTCATTAACAAATATTTAAATTCCCAATGGATAGTAATTTCGGGTACAGAGAAAAAGTATTCAACCCATTCCTACTCTTTGACTTGGAGAAAAGAAGGACTTAGGTTCAAACTCAACATCTAATGTCACTTTGGCTTGCATTGATTATCTTCAAAGAGATTTAAAGCAATAAAAGAGCCTCTGTACAAAAGTAATTGTGCCTGCCTTTCATCCTATGCTGTGGGCTCTGAACAATATACAGCTTTTGTTCTTTCTCTAAAAAGGTATTGGAACCCCTCCCAGTCCTGGGGTAGCTAGGAGAGAGATGGAAGGTAACAAGATTTTTGCATTCTAGAAAGAGTCCTCTCATTCTATAATGTTGGACCTCGTCAGTGTTTAGTATACTAAAACTTTTGGTAGTAACCTTCTCCTCCTCTTCATCTATACCTTGTTTTTAACTTTTCATTCTTTGTTGTTTGTATATCCACTTAACTTCCCTGAGATTCCTGTTGTTTCCACTCTTGTTTCATACATGTTTAATATATACTGAGGCAGTGAAGTTTCTGTTTAAAGAAGAATGCCTTCGAGTTTTTTTTTTCAGAATAAGTCAAATGTTTTGAAATGTTCTTGACTAAAGTTTTAAAAATTGGTAATTAAAGCCTGGCACCAGTGGCTCACTCAGGAGGCTGAGATCTGAGGATGCCAGTTTCAAGCCTGCCTTTGCAGAAAAGTCCCCATTGAGACTCTGATCTCCAACCACTAAAAAACTGGAAGTGGTACTGTGTCTCAAGTGTGAGAGTGTTGCCCTTGAGCACAAAGAGGCTCAGGGACAGCACTCAGGCCCTGAGTTCAAGTGCCACAACTGACCCAAAAAAAAAAATTAGAATTAAGATTAAATCTATTAAAGTGGAAGAATGTAGTATTTTGTGGGTGATTTTATACATAGGCGTTTCTGGATTAAGTTCCTTTAAAAGTCCTTAAGACTAGAAGCCATTTGTTAATAATAGTTATTAAGAGACTAGTATATTTCATGTAACAATTATTTGTGAATTTCTTTTCTAAAAGGAAAGTCAAGAAGATAATCCTTGTTTGTCAATTATTTTGTTGTCTCACAAAAGTAATTTTTGTTTCATCCTTCAGCTACATTTCTAATGCATTTGAACCATTTCTTTCATAAGGCAGATAGGTATATGGTAATAAGTATACCCGTCTTCTATCTCAATCATAGAATTTTATACAAGTCCAAAAGATCTCAACAGAAAATACTTTATCTACAAGGATGCATACACAATGAAGCCCTAAAATAGTGCTACTAGTAGCTACTTACGAAACTTAGAAACACACACAGACTGTGGCTCCTGAGCCACTTGTCTGAGTAGCACCAGCTACTGTGGTCACGCCTTGTACCTGTTCACACAGTTGACCATGTTTTCAAGGTTCATAGATAGACCCGTGTCCCTGTGTGTCCCTGTGAGTAAGGTGCCAGCTTAAGGGCTGCACTTGTCTCCCATAATGGTGTCTCTAATACTAGTTTTTTTTCTGTTTTGGAATATTTTACTCATTCTTATCTAATGCTAATTACTCCAACCCATGCCCTCATTTTTAGTGTAATAAAATAAAACAGTCAAATGATGGTATGTAATGTTTTATTGTTACTTGTGAATAATTTTTTTTCTTCCTACTTCAAAGCACCCAAAAGCCCTGGAACTACACGGAAAGATACCATAGGTAAAATGTAGTTATTTACCTTGAAAACTGGACCACCAAATAGACAATTGGACTAGAAATATATGGCTCTTGTTTTATTTTTTTTTAACACTTAAATATTTGTCTTTGTTCCAGGACGCAATCAGCCTTCGCCTCAAGCAGGACTTGCAGGCCCAGGTCCTGCTGTATATGGGGCAGCCCGGCCGGTAGGTAACGCTGATGGGAAAGGACTATAAGCTCTGTGTTCTAGGTCTGAATTTGCAGCTAGTGAATCTGTTACTTTGTTGTTGTTGTTGTTGTTGTTTTGGGGGGGGGGTCTGGTCATGGGGCCTGAACTCTGGGCCTGGGCTCTGTCCCTCAGCTCTTCAGCTCAAGGCTAGCGCTCTACCGCTTGAGCCACAGCACCACTTCCAACTTTTTTCTTTTTGCTTATGTGGTGCTGAGGAATCAAACCCAGGGCCTCTGGCATGCAAGGCAAGCACTCTACCACTGAGCCAACTTCCAGCCCCGAATCTGTTACTTTGGAGAAATTGCAATACCTTCCTAGCCTAATTTTCCTCAACTCTAAAATGAGAGAATTGATAATACATAAGGTTCCTTTTAATTCCTTATGTCTGTAGAATATATATGAAGATCTCTATGGCCCAGTCTATTTATTTTAAAAAGGAGAAATTGCCATATACTAACTCCAATACTACCACACTTCCCATAGAACTATTTTCCACTATTTCATTTAATAGTGAAACCGGGGTAGGAAAGTCAGCATTTTTATGAGGCTAAAAGTTCCTATTTTGCTTAAAATAAATATCATTTCGAATCATAGTTTCCTATGAAAATAGAAAAGATTGGGCTGGGAAGGTGGCTCAGTGGTAGAGCGCTTGCCTTGTATGCATGAGGCTCTGGGTTCAATTCCTCAGCACCACATAAACAGAAAAGGCCAGAAGTGGCGCTGTGGCTCAAGCTGTAGATCACTTGCCTTGAGCTGAAGAGCTGAGGGACAGCGCCCAAGCCCAGAGTTCAAGTCCACGACCGGCAAAAAAAAGAAAATAAAAAAGAAAATAGAAAAGATTTTCACCAAAATGTCCCCTAATGTGTTTAATTTGGAATATTGAGTTAGTTATTTAGGGGTTTTACTTACAATTAAAAAAAAATCATATGGTGTCATTTTTCTGAAGTTTTAGTTCAGTATCTCCTATCTTCTCACGTACCTTAACTACCTATCTCTTCATGAAGGCATTGCACATGGTCAAGAGCTTCAGCCCTAGCTAGTCAGGAGACTGAGATCTGAGAATCATGGTTTGAAACCAAGCTTTCCACAAAGAAAGCTGGAAATGGATGTGTGACTCAAGTGATAGAGCACTAATAGTCTTGAACAAAAGAGCTCAGGAAGAGCATCTAGGCTCTGAATTCAAGTTCCAGGACTGGCACACATAAATACACACAAAAATAATCAATACAAAAAGGGACTCAAGTGGTAAAGTGCCTACTTAGCAAACACAAGGCCCTGAATTCAATCCTCATTCCCACCAATAATAATATTATCTGGAGAATAATTGGAAGATAAAATAAAACTGCCTAAACATTGTTTAATATTGCCTGGTACATAGTCAATAGTCAAAATAAAAAGGAAGATTTTAAAACTTACTGTTCTGTGGCTACTAATAGAACAATTAAATGACAATCTTAGTAAAATGACAAAGTGCAAGATGGAAAGTAATACCAAAAAGGAGATTAAGTGAGATGCAGAAGCAAATCACTGAATCTTACCTGCCGAAAATAAATAAATGTCTCATGTGTTGTATTTCTCACCCATAGATAATTCCGCCCAGGGCTGGAGTGATCAGTGCCCCTCAGAGCCAGGCTCGGGCATCTGCTGGAAGACTGACTCCTGAAAACCAAAGCAAAGCAACAGATGTATCAAAAGGTAGATACTCTATTAGAAATACCACTTGTGTTCTGTTTGTTTGTTTCCTTTCACTTTGGTTTTGTTTTCCCTTCTACCATCTCCCAACTTCCCTACCTCTTCCAATAGGGACAGACTTTCTTCTTTATGCTACTAAAAAGAAGGTATTTGTTGGGTAGAATAAAAAACAACTGAAATGTCATCAAACTTTTCACTGAAGAAAAAAAAAAACCCAATGGTTTTCTCAAGCACAGCTAATGTGTGACTGTTACTGGTGTTATTTAGGTTCAGCTGTTCTTCCAGAACCACTGAGGCCACAGGCTGCTTCTCCACTGCAGCCTTCTCTGCCTCCACCTACTCAAAAGTTGCAGGAACCTCTTGTTCCCGTGGCAGCACCTATGCCTCAGTCCGGCCCCCAGCTAAATTTGGAAACGCCACCACAGCCCCCACCTCGGAGCAGGTCATCCCATAGCTTGCCTTCAGAATCTTCGCCACAGCTGCAAGTAAGTCTTACTACTAAAGAAGATAGTATCTTTGATACATATGGTTTGGGACTTTAAACACTTGTCATAATTCTTAGCATTTAGTGCATAGTAAATGAGTGCTTTGGCTATTTGGGGGACATTAGGGATTTATTTCTAACATGTTACTTACATAAAAAATTTTCTGATCCTCCATCAGAGTTCTTTCCTGCATTTTTAGATGGTTTCCCATGTTAATGTATGTATTTGCTTTTATAATGCATAATTTGCTTTAGATGATAGTAAGTAGATAACACTAATTTAGTTTTCTTAATGCTCACGATAATAAATGATTTTGGAGAAGTCAGATCAGATCAGTCTTGGTTTGTTCGAACACTGGCATGGTGGTTAATTTTCATGAATAGGGAATAATTCTTCAGTTCTTATTGCAATTAGTAGCTCTTTTCTATTCACTGGGGCTCATGCAATATCTCAAACAGATGCAGTCATTGCTTCATCATTAGAAATAGTGTGGGCTTGCAGAAGTAGGCTCATTCACCAAAGTAAAAAACCACAAGACATCAAATCACCACATTGGTGTTAGTGCCATTGCCTGAGCTCTTGTTCTCACATTAAAAACACTTGTGCATATGTGTCTGCATACATATGCATGTTTTATACAGAGATAATTGAGTAAATTAAATTGTATTATTTGGATGTTATTTCATTTAGTTTTGTCCAATACATTTAAGTAAAGTTGGTATAATGAAATTTAATAACTACATTTTGTTATCTTGCTTTCTTTATCTTTAGTTTGTTGTCTTTATCTTGAAAATGTCATCAAGGCCAAAGAAATACGTTGTAAAACTCTGCTTTTAAAGTTAGAAAAGACTTTTTAGTTCAGAAAACTGAGTGCTGAAGAAAATAATGTAGAAACTCCTCAAAAAATAAATGTCTGCCAAAATACAGAAATACTGCATATTGGCATTGTCTCTTACGTATGTTCATAAGTAATAGTTTGCATTTGTTTTTATAAATTTGTGGGTATGACAAGCTATTTGGCAGGAGCTATGTTTCTTAATGTTTTAACACAAAACATAAATGCGAAAGTAAATAAGAATACTGTTATCTGTTGACACTCATTTGGATGTTGGTCACATTTGTAAAAGGTGAAAAATTTAAGCTGATTAACACTGTATTCTTTATGCTTTTAGTTCAGAAAATTGAAGGTGGTGAAGGTATTTAATAATGATAGAAACCTTCAAAGAATAATTAATTACCCATTACTCTTTTCCTTCTGACATTCACTTTTAGTTAACCTTGAATATTTTTTTCATTTTTTTTGCAATGTGTTCTATTTTAAAAAATGTAATTGGAGGGCAAAATAACTTTGAAACTAGCCACTGTCGGTTACTGTTTCACTGACGGACACTAGTTACAAAGTAGAAGTGCATCTTCCTTCCTAGTACTCTGTAATGGTTTACATGCCTCTTAATCAATTTGGAAGCAAATACAGTGCTGTACATTCAGAAAGGCAAGCTGTCTACAAAGATTGCCCTTTTCAGTAAAGGACAATCTGTAGTGCAGAAGGGACAGGTCAATGATTGCCAAACATCATTTTCCCTTGTTCTGATACCTGGTTTTTATTGAAATGAGGATAGTAATTTGGTGACTGACAGTATTTGCCTTGTGTGGCCTGGTAGATAATATTCACCAAAAATGACTGAGGTAAACTAACTACAAGAGTAAAGCTGTATTATGTTTTAAATACATACACATAGCCCAGCTTTGCTCTATTAATGTTCTTTGACTCTCTAAATCTATATATAAATGAATCTTTTAATGATTGTATATGCTCTACAAAGCATAAATATGCTTCACTTACTTGTCTCACTTCCAAGCATCTTAGTTATCTGATTATGAGCTAAGATCTAGGAAATTCAACAGAGAAAGACAGAAGTCATACCTAAACTATTAATATGATAGTTGACAGTAAAAGAGAAGACCACGTAGAAAATCTCAGCATGTTAGCATTTAAAGGACAGTGCAGCTACATTGCACATCTTAGAGCTGATGTACTAGATTCCAAAATCATTAAAAATAATTAGTGGTATCAATCTTATACTAAGAGAGAGATAGCTCCATCATGGAACACACAGCTCTGGAATATACCTTACGCACTGTTATTGTTGTGTTATTGTTTTAAAGAATCTCAATCTCATGTTTAGTAGGCAATTAATTTTAAAGTACATATGTATATAAGGATAGCATTTTTCTAAATTGTCACAGTTGGTTTTGCTATTTGAAAATAAGAGGGGCTGGGAAGGTGGCTCAGTGGTAGAGCGCATGCCTTGCATGCATGAGGCCCTGGGTTCGATTCCTCAGCACCACATAAGCAAAAAGAAAAAAGCCAGAAGTGGAGCTGTGGCTCAAGTGGTAGAGCACTAGCCTTGAGCTGAAGAGCTGAGGGACAGCGCTCAGGCCCAGAGTTCAGGCCCCCCCCCCAAAAAAAATAAGATAAACACCAGGTGCTGGTGGCTCATGCCTGTAATCCTAGCTACTCAAGAGGATGATATCTGAAGATGACAGTTCAAAGCAAGGAAAGTCTATGAGACTCTTATCTCCAATTAACCACCAGAAAATGTGGCTCAAAGTGTTGAAGCACTAGCAAAAGAGAGAGCAGAACAGAAAGGGGGGAAAGAAAGGGCGGGAGGGGGAAGAGGGAAGTGAGGGAGGGAGGAGAGTAGAAGGAATAAGCTTTAGGTATTGGAATATTTTTGGAAGATTTACCCACAAGTTTCTTAAGAATACTAGGTATTTAAAATATTATTTATAGAAAGGTTATTTTGTTTTAAACACTAAATATAAGATAGCCTCTTATTTTGTACCTTTTAACTTACAATTGTGGTGTGAACTAATCAAAATATCTTCTTCAGAAATTTTGAATAAAAACGTAAGTCTGAATCATGACCATTTTGTTAAAATAAATATTAATTTCAGAGAAAAATGATATTTTGTATGTTTTCTCTATTATTGATGCCCAGAGGTTATCCTAAGGCTGTCTTAGGTTCTTGGGCTGCTATCCAAATGGCTTAGATAATAGGAACTTAGTTCTCACCGTTGTGAAGGCTTCAAGTCCAAGATCAGGATGCTACTGTTAGCCACCCAGTTCCATGCCCTTCCCTCAGTGTGTGTGCTTAGAAAAGGGGGCGGGGAGGGGTGAGCAAACGTGCAGCCTATCGGCTATCTGCTCTCATGAGGTCACTAATCCTATCACTGGTGCCCAATCTTATGAGTTCTTCTAACTACTTCCCAAAACATCTCCCTCCATGAACTCTAGAGGGTTAGGGTTTCAGTATATGATGTTTTTGTGGGGCTGGAGCATGGAGTGATCAGTCCAAAACAGGCTGCTTAAACTATTTTTAGAGCTCTGACAATTTTTTTGCAATGACAAAATTCTGAGCTGTTTAGAATAATCAATCTCAGACAAACTTAAATTTGGATCCTAATTCGACAGAATTACAAGGAATCAGCATTGTCTTTTGAACTTATGCTATAACCTGCCGTTCCCAGATTCTATATGTAACATAGAGCTAAAAGTATTTTGATGACTGAATTGCTAGGATTGCTGGTTGGTTTCAAATTATCTTCCTAACTTTTTCCTTTGATTCTGTGTTCCCTTTCTCAAAGCAGGAGCAACCATCAGGGTAACAGGTATTCGACTATTTATCAATCTTACATGTGCTTTTCATCTGTCTTCTTAGCACATTAGATGTATGAATCATTTGCTTCATACATCTAAAGTTTCACTCATATTTAAAACCACTTGTTTACATTAATTAAATTCTATTATCATACCATAAAACCTGCTTTTTCTTTTCTTAGTATTTGGGTTTTTAGAAGCCATTTTAGTTGTTCTTGCTAATGCTTTACTTTTTTTTTTGCTTCATTTTTTTGAAATGAAAATTTAACAAAACTAAAAAGTATAACTTCAAGAAGGTAAGCTTTGGAAATATGGAAGCTTGTTTAGCAAAAACAAATTCATTCTTTAACAATACTATAATAATATAAACTCAAAATTCAATATTTTTTCTTAGCTTTCTTTTGTGATATATTCTTTTCAAAAAGTTTTGTATATCTTGCCCATGTAATTGTAACCCCTCTATACAGTATTTTCACAATTAAAAAAAAAGTTTTGTAACTACTAGCAAGGTTCTTTTCAGTAAGGAAGAACTATGACTTAGAAAAATAAAAATATTATAACAAGATTAAAGATTCTTCCAACACCTTTCTCTGTAAAATATCACCAATTTTACTGTCTCTCAAATCCTGCTTAGATTATAAATTAATTTAATGAATGATGGTATGGTTTTCTTTGTAATTTCAAGTACAGTTGGAAAAAGTGATCCTGCTTCTATATAACTTATTTTAGAATAAAAATTTTTCTTACATATGAAATTAAAGATTCTTAAATAGCATTTATTTTTGGCAAGCACCCATAATTCTAAGCTATGCAAAAATAAGATTTCCTTTCCCCATAATGTTATGAATCTATTTCATAATGTTATGAATCTATTTCCCATCAGAGAATTTGATCCTAAACCCAATAAAATTTTTCTATTTTTGTTAATATTAATCATAATAATTCATAGATTATTGGTAACATAGGAGTCTACTTACCTTAATACATTTATACTAGCGTAGACTCATGACCTTTTATTTTCATATAAATTGTCAATGGTGTTTGAAGACAAACATACTTGTTTATTCAATTACAAACTGTCCTTTGAATAAATCAAATACCTGAAAGTCATTCACAAGATTATCCATACTGTTTTCTAAGTATTATTAAGCACTAAGTGTTTCATAGTATACAGTCATATTTTATAGGAACTACTGCTATATTTTCCCAATATATATAATGAGAGTCATTATTTCGCTATAGCAGTTATCTAAATTTACTTTGGGTAATGATCTGTTTTGTTGCATTGTAGATCTTGAGCTGAAATTCTCCCTTCCCTATTTTTTCCAATATGGATGTTTTCTTTCTTTCAAGCTGGCATAGCTGAATTATATAGGGCTTTAAAAAAAATAATAATTACAGGCTCACGCCTGTAATCCTAGCTACTCAGGAGGCTGAGATCTGAGGATCGCGGTTCAAAGCCAGCCCTGGCAGGAGAGACCGTGAGACTCCTATCTCCAATAAACCACCAGAAAACCGGAAGTGGCACTGTAGCTCAAGTGGTAGAGCGCTCGCCTTGATCTGAAGAGCTGAGGGACAGCGCCCAGGCCTAGAGTTCAAGCCCCACGGCTGACCAAAAAACAAAAAAATTAATAATGTTTATTTGCTCCAAAGGACAGGATCATTGTTCATTTCCCGGTCAGGAGGCTCCATGGCCTCTTAACAGCACTTTATGTACTAAGCAAGGTTTTCATGGTCCTAAAGTCATTCTGAACCCTTTCTTGCTGGTATCAGCTCATGGGCAACACTATTTGGGGAACAGCTTCATTTGATCTTAGAAATAATACATCAAGGGTCTGGGAAGGTGGCTCAGTGGTAGAGCGCTTGCCTTGCATCCTGAGGCCCTGGGTTCGATTCCTCAGCACCATATAAGCAAAAAGAAAAAAGCTGGAAGTGGCGCCGTTGCTCAAAGAGGTAGAGCGCTAGTCTTGAGCTGAAGAGCTGAGGGACAGCGCCCAGGCCCAGAGTTCAGGCCCCACGACCGGACCCCCCCAAAAAAAAAAGAAGAAGAAAGAAATAATACATCACGTGGAAGCAAAATCCCCTCTCTACTGCTTGAAACAATCATTTTATTTAGAATAGTATACCTATTTTGTCTGACAAGATGAGAAAGATTAAGTTATATAGTTATTCACAGTTTATTCTGCAAAAGAGAACTTAAATTACAAGGTAAAAAAACTTTGAAATTTTTCCAAATAGAAAAGATACCATCTACAGCTTATGAATCTAGATATATTAATAAATTAGCATTTATAAATGTTTATTTTTGTAATAATTTAAATGACTATGCCTTTAAAAAACAAATAATAGAACAACCTTACCATTCTCATAGATTGGTGTTGGAAGTTTATTATACAGATTGAGCATAAGATCTGAATATGTTTCTTAAGTTCATGTTAAAATTTGAATAAATTTGTTAGTTTTGAATAATTGTGTTCCTTACTATTTTAAAACTCACACAAATGAATAGGGAGCTGGTGGCTCACACCTGTAATCCTAGCTACTCAGGAGGCTGAGATCTGAGGATTGTGATTCAAAGCCAGCCCAAGCAGAAAAGTCTGTGAGACTCTGATCTCCAGTAACCACCAAAAAACTGGAAGTAGTGCTGTGGCTCAAGTGGTAGAGTGCTAGCCTTTAGCTGAAGAGCTGAGGGACAGTGCCCAGGCCCAGAGTTCAAGCTCCACAACCAGCCAAACATATGTGCATGCGCACACACACACACACACACACACCACACACACACACAAAAAATTATTTCTTTAGGATTTAAAAAAAACTGGATTTAATAAAAGGGATTTATTTATTAAGGGATTTTTAAAGAATAAAACTTTAGTGCCGGACACCAGTGGCTCATGCCTGTAATCCTAGCTTCTCAGGAGACTGAGATCTAAGGATCACAGTTCAAAGCCAGCCTGGGCAGGAAAGTCCATGAGACTCTTACCTCCAATGAACCACTAGAAAACCGGAAGTAGTGCTGTGGCTCAAGTGGTAGAGTGCTCGCCTTGAGCTGAAGAGTACAGGGACAGCGCCCAAGCCCAGAGTTCAAGCCCCACGACCGACAAAAAAAAAAAAAAATTAGTTATTTTATCCTACAAGAAGAGTTACAAGTTTCAGAACAGTACTTTTTAATTTCCAGATTTGTATAGCTGTCCAAGAAAGGGCAGAAAGATTGAGACAGGAGGAAGAGAGGATATTAATAATGTGAACTGATGATTCACTGCTCTTAAATCTTTTTCAGGTAAAAACAAATGGAGTCTCTGGTGTCAAACAAGAGCCACTATTCAAGAGTGACCCATTTGAAGATCTGTCATTTAATCTGCTTGCTGTATCACAGGCTCAGCTACCTGTTCAGATATCACCTGTTCTAACCCCAGACCCTGATAGGTTAATTCAATTGCCTTCTGCAACACAAAGCATTGTTAACACTTTGAGTTCTATAAGTTGCATGCCAACCATGCCTCCAATTCCAGCCAGGAGCAAATCGCAGGAAAGTATTCAGAGTGCTCCAAATCCATTTATTGCTAGCTTGACCAGCACAAACCCTTTCACTGATAGGACTACTGCTCCGGGAAATCCATTTAGAGCCCAGACTCAAGAATCAGAGACAACCTCATGGTTCTCCAAAGAAGAGTCTAATACAAATAGTCCTTTTCCTCCGCTCATGCCTCTTGGTCAAAATGTAAGTAGGCCTTCATGTTCCCATGATGGTTTTAAGGACAGTTTTGACCCACAGGGCCCGTCTGCAGTACAAGCAGGCAACCCAAAAGGATGGGTAACTTTTGAGGAAGAGGACGACTTTGGTGTGAAAAGGAAGTCAAAGTCATCTTGCTCCAGTTTCCTGGGAAATCCGCCAGATTCATTTGATGATGACTGGAACAAAGGAACAAGTGTGTCTTTCTGTGTGTTGCCAGCCAGGAGACCACCTCCACCACCTGTCCCCCTGCTCCCGCCTGGCACCAGCCCTCCTGCAGATCCTGTCACAGCCTTGACATCTAAGACGTCTCCCACAATAGACTTTACAGAAAGATAATGCGGTATGGCAGAAAGAAGGTTTTGTGGTCCTTTTGTTTTTTAGTTTGAGCAAGATAAAGAGCCAAATGAATTGGGCATTAGATATTCATTATGTGCAATAAGTCATTGTAAAGTGCACTGATATCTTCATAAAGTACCACTATTTTATGTGTACAAAGTTGGAATATGTGTATATTAGAAATAAGGAAAGATGCTTCTTGTTATAGTAACTGGAGTTATGGTGTGTTTCTCTTCAGATGAATAGGAGACAGGAGTAGCCATAAAAAGTGTTTTTAAAAGATAGTCCTTATCAGAAATTCCTTTTCAGTCTTTGAAAAATCACAAAAAGGCCACATGTCTGTACCTGGTATTACTGTCAGCCTTTTTATTATGATACTAACAATTGGTATTAATGATTATTTACCAAAGAGCTGCCACAGTTATAATGAAACTGTTTTCAAAGGCATTGCTTAAACAAAAAGCTATATGTGTATATACACAAATATTCATAAAAAAGATCAAATTTTACCTAAAAGTTCTTTTTAAAAAGTCCTTTCAATATCTCACTACCAAAAAGATGGCTACCAGTGATTTGGACATTTAATTAATTTTATTTTCCAAACTATAGTAATCTCACTGTGGAACCAGTACTATTCAAAAACCCAGCCCTTCTCAAATACACCCGCCCTTGTTATCTTCTGTGTACTTTTTCTCCAGGAGGAGGTTCTTGCAGCTGGCAGAAGCATGTCAGTTTTCTCCATTTGGACAGATACTCTGGCCCTCCTCACAGTAGTATGGCCCATGTAGAGAAGATGCACACCATGGAACCCAATGAGAAACAGCAGTGCATTGAGGTTATGTTGCACAGTTCCCTTCCATGCTTTTCTTTTTGCTGCTTTTTCTCTGGAACTTTGCTTTTAGCAGGGAAAGCAGTGCTTTGAGTCGGGAACATAGCCATTGTATGTTCTCTCCCACTTAAGAGGCCACTTAACACATCTATGATGCTGCTTTTAAGTTTTTAGAGGCTATACCTCAAATTAGCTGTGGATTTTATCTCCTGCACTGCCAATATGCGACTGATCCTGCTTTTATTAATTTTATGAAGACATACAAAGAATTTTTACCGAATGTAGTATTTTGATATCATTAAGTAAACCAATCACAAAACTCCTTAAACAGTAGTTGTTGTCATTCTAAGTTAAAATTATCTCTACTCGTTAATATTTAATTAACATTCCTTTTATATAAAAAGTTATGTATATCCACCTAAATTCCTATATCCACATTTAACCTTTAAAGTTGTATATTAGGGCAATATAAAAATGTATATTAAAGAAAAGAGTCCATGGCTAAGAACATTAAAGTATAAAAAGCACAGAAAACTGCATTGCACTCCCAACCTAAAGCAGGTCTATTAAGAAAAAGCACTTTTCTAAATGCTCAAGTGTTATCAAAATACTATATTTATAGATATAATTCTGTCAACAGCCAGGAATTGCTGTTAGAAATAACTTGTGAGTTTTATATTGTGTTCTTTGGGGTTCTAACCATTTCAGCTGTAGTATGTTTTAAACAGCAGTATTACTATAAGCAATGTGCTTCAAAATGTGAATTAACTTGTTGAAACTGTGGCTTTAACATCTTATGTGATTAGTGTGTTTTCTCTCCATTAGCAAAAAAATTCATTGTTAGCTAACTTCAGTAGTACAAGTTACAGTTCTGTGAGCAGTGTCTCCTATTGGATATAAACTACTATCTTAAAATACGCATAGCAGTAGCAGCTCAGCCTTTGTCAGGAAAATTATATTTGGTAAGTTGCTAAAAATGCACAGTTATGGAAGTTAGAAGTATGCTGCCATTAACTAGCCAGTATTCTGTGTATTATTAAATACTTACTAGTTCTATTCAAAGCAGAGCAGAAATTAGACACTAAGAATCTATGATTTTTTTGTTCTCTATAGTAGATTGCTGTTTATATGTATGTAAGAATTTTACTGCTTATGTGGCATATAATATTTATAACTATATACTTTATAGAAGTACAGTATTAAAGTCAGTGGTATACAGACATTCTGTACATATCCTGTGAAATGTGCTGTCATATGAAATAAATATACCTGTCTTTATGATATAGACTACTTTGTTTTAAAAGAGATTTTTCGTATCCTTTTTTCTTTTACTTTACAAACATAAGTTACATTTGGGGAAAATAGGTTAGCTTTTGTTGCCGAATCAGGTGTTTTTAAAGCAATTATTTTCATCTTCAAAGAGAAAGAAGGCATCACTGGAAATTACTAATTGCCATTATGAAACTTCTGCTTTTACTCCATGAGGCATGAATGAGGTTTTTCTGACTTACAGAAGAAGAAATACCTGGGGGTGGGGCAGAAGGGTATTAAGACATGACTAGCCAACCAAAAAGAGGCTGGCTAAAAAGACCCAAAGGAAGAAACTAGGGTTAGTAGTGGGTTACAGCTTGAGTATTAGGTTTTTAAAAGGCATTTTTCAAGCTAGGTGTTGGCAGCTCATGCCTGTAGTTCCAGCTACTCAGGAAGCTGAGGTCGAAGGATCACAGTTTGAAGCCAGCCTGGACAAGAAAGTCTGTGAGACTCGTCTCTAATTAACTACCAAAAGATAAAAGAAGTCCAAAGTGGAGCTGTAGCTCAAGTAGTAGAGCACTACCCTTGGGGAAAAAAGCTCCTAAGGACTGGCACCAAATAAATAAGTAAACAAATGACATTTTTAAGATTAATAATAGATTTACATGAAATCGTGGGAAATAATACTGAGGGAGCTTTGTATTCTTTACCTAGTTCCTAGTGGGAAGATCTACAAAATTATAATACTTTAGTACAACCAGAATACTTAACAGTGTAAGAACATTTCTATCAGCACAGGACCTTTCATTTTGCTCTTGTTCCTATTCCCTCCACTATTCCATCCCCTGCCCCTCCATTTCCTCTCCTTCCATTCCATCTTTCCTGTACTCTGCAAACCACTAATCTGTTGTCCATTTCTATAATTTTTCACATCAGGAATGTCATGTGAATGGTTTCAAATGGTATATATTTTGAAATTTGCATTTTTCAATTTTTCAATTAGTATAATTCTTAGTAAACATCTAGATTGTACATGCCATCATTTGTTGTTGATTGCTGAGTATTATTCCATGGTCTGGACATACTACAGTTCATTTAACCATTCATTTACAGCAAGACATCTGGACAGTTAACGGTTTGAGGCTATTGAAAGTAATCTACTGTGGATTTAATTTTCATTTCTCCAGAATAGATACCATGAGTGTAATTGCTTGGTTATGTGTGGCATGCTTCAGTTTTTATAGAGCTACAAAAAAAAGAAAAAAGAAAAAACCTGCCATTTTACATTCCTGTGAGCAACGTGCTAGTGATTGTTTTGCCACATACTTTGTTCTCATTTGATTTAGCCCTACTGCTTATATTTCTTTGTGGTTTTAATCTATCTCTCTGGTAGCTAATGATATTGAACATCTTTTCAAGTGATTATTGGCTTTCTTGTATCATCTTCGATGTAAGGGCTGCTCTTTTTTGCTCATTTTCTGGTTGGTTGGAGGTGTTTTGTTTTGTTTTTGTTGGTCGTGGGGCTTGAACTCTGGGCCTGGGCGCTGTTCCTCAGCTATTCAGCTCAAGGTTAGTGCTCTACCACTTGAGCTACAGTGCCACTTCCGGTTTTCTGGTGATTTTATTGGAGATAAGAGTCTCACAGACTTTCCTGAACAGGCTGGCTTTGAACCTGGATCCTCAGATCTCAGCCTCCTGAATAGCTAGGATTACAGGTGTCAGTCCCTGGCACCTGACTGGTTGGAGGTATTTTTCTGTTGAGTTTTCAAGATTCTCTGTATACTCAAGATGATCTTTGGTGGGCATGCTTGCAACTGTTTCTCCAGTCTAACTGTATTTAGTCTTTGCACAGAATCTGCAGCAGGTTCTGGACGCTATGTAAGAGTGATTGGCATATGATAACCATACTCACAAGAAATTGATACATAAGAAAAATAACTCATCAAGGATGAGCAAGTACAAAAAAAATAATTCACTACTGGTAAGAGTAAATTGGTATATCAACTCCAGAAAACAAGCTAAATTTAAGAGTGTCAGATTGTTTATAAGAAATTGGGCTTCTAGACAATTTAGTCCATGTCTTGAATACGAGATGTGGTGCTTATAATGGTATTAGAAGTAAACTAAATGTCAGTGGGAATGGAATGTTATATCTGTACAGTGGAATAATATACAGCAAGAAGTGAATGAAAATAGTATATTCTCATTGGGAGCTATAAATTAAAATATGCAAAACTATTTTTTTTTGGTCAGTCCTGGGGCCTGAACTCTGGGCCTGGGCGCTGTCCCTCAGCTCTTCAGCTCAAGGCTAGCGCTCTACCGCTAGAGCCACAGCGCCACTTCCCGTATTCTAGTGGTTTATTGGAGATAATAGTCTGGCTTTGAATCGCGATCCTCAGATCTCAGCCTCCTGTGTTACTAGGATTACAGGTGGAGCCACCGGCACCCGGCTAAACAATATGTTCTTTAGGGGTACATATATGTGCCAGTGGCATAAAAACTTGCAGTGGAACAGTAAAAACCCAAATCCAGAACACACATTGCCTCTAGGAAGAGATGAAGGGGACAGGCTGACACAGAAGCTTTGTGTAATGTGTTACCTCTTTAAACAAAGTTATCTGCAGAGTAAAAGTTTCTCGTTTTTCTTCTTGGCTGCCACGTATTCTGCAGCCACCCTGAGTTATCCATCTTTATCCACTCCAGGAAGATCCTCATTGATAGATCGCTTGACTAGAAGCAAATGGCCGCCAGATGCCTTTCATCCAAGCAAGCCACCTACCTAAAATACTCAAGGGCAAATCAGCCATCAGGCACACACACTGCACATCATCTTTGTCTTCGAATTCAGAGCACACTTGGCTGACAGGATTCTGCCCGGTTGTGGCCTGAGCCTTGGACGGGCTGTTCTAGGAAGCAGCCAACAATGCGTGGCCCTCAGCTCTGTGTTGGTCAAAACTCCTGTTTGTGTGTATTTTGAAGCCCAGTAGTTAGTGTCATTTTGGGGAGCTGTTAGAACTTAGGGTAACATTCTGGGAGGGGAGGAATTCGTACCAAATTCTAATATAGGGGATCTGAGAAAGAAAGAATTCGTTTCAAAGCTAATCCATAATCATCCTGGTTAATTTTCTTTACACCTCTATTTGCATTCGACTTGTCCACTTATTTTTGTTTCCTCGGGAGAAGCAGCGCCGGGCCCCGCAGGCGTTGGGGTAAGAACGCGTGGGACGCACGCAGACTGCTTGTTCGGTCGCCTAGCCTCCCGGGAGACAGGTCCCAGCCGGAAGTACCTGCCAGCCGTTCCCGGAAATGGAGGCTGCAGGCTTGCCCCGGTCGGAAGGACCAAGGAGCCACATTCCCGGAAGTGGAGGTTGCAAAGGGCAGAAAGGCTGTGACCGGAAGCGGCGGAAGCGGGCTGCCCACGGTGCCTACCAGCCCCACGCCTTGCTGCC